GTTTAGACATACCGCCTTCCACAACTTTATCCATCATTCGCGATGGAACTGGGGTTACACTGATGGGTCTGTAGTTGCTGACGCTAGCCCTGTCGACAGATTTGTAGTGTGGAATTACAAAGCCAGTCTTCCACTCAGTTGGATACGTATTAGTTTCCATTGAAAGAGCGAACAACCTAAGCAGAATCAGGGGACGGTCGTGTCCACTATTCCTTAGGGCCACTGAATCGAAGCCGCCCATTCCCATTCCTTTTGTAGGTCGTAGGCTTCTGATAGCTTCAGCTATATTTCTGCAAGTAAATTTTTTAGCCACAAAACGGCCCCTGTGGAGTGGTATGCTACTGATGGGAGTTCGCGTCTCACAACTGAAATTCCCAAACCAGTCACTAAACGGTTCAAAAACCACTACTGAGCAGCTGCAGACCGCCTTATTATGAAGCAAGTATTGCATATGTCTGGTTATTTGAAGGCCGTATACCTTAGAGCTGGTTCTTAAGGCCTGTAACTCATCCGTTCAAGGTTCTTGTGCATGTAAGCCCTTGACTTATTCCAGGGTGTCAAGGGCCGCATGCAGCAAGGAGAAATCTTTGGTGGAGTGGTATAGACTCGACAGTCTCCTGAGCGTTTTGCGGTATATGGGTTGAGTGTGTTCTGAGTGGCGATGCGCCTTCACTGTCTTTACAGGGGCAGCAGCATCCAGACACGACGTAACACTCCTGTAAAAAGGGGATGGCGTGGTTGTCAGCGAGTCGGTGGCAAAGTAGTCATCTCAAGAGGAGAACCTTAGGAGCTCTGTGGGTGGTTTCCAGTCCTCGCCTTTACAGATGCGATATTCAGTGATCCGTAAGGCCTGTTTACCACCCGCATTCAGCTATGGAACAGGTAGACAACAGGATACCATTCTGTGGTCGCTATTGAAAACTGCGCCGCCAACCATGGTAGTTGCTGGGACGATAACATGCCAAAACACCATGCCGAACATTTTGTCCCCACGGGCAGATGCGTGGACACGTTGCTTTCAACTGTGGAGATCTATCACTACAAGTATGTCAGCGAAGCGCTACGGGTCACAACCAACTGTCCAGTTAATTCTGGGGAGATTGAAATCACCGGCAATCAATTTAAAACTGGTACCATGTGAGGAAGCATGAACAAATGATTTGGCCAGAAGTGTGTCCGTTTCCGCTGTTGAACATGGCGCTCGGTACACGCATCCTATAAGAAGTGGGCCAGGTACTGCTTTTAGTATGTTGTCGTCAACCTTATTTGCCGCAACTTGGTCACATATATAAATGAGGCAGCCGCCACCACGCTTACGATGTCGATTGAAGCAACAGAGTGCATCCACCTATAGATAGGTCTGCATCCAGAATGCTAGATGGACACCACGATTCAGTTATGAGTGGTATCGTCGGTTTAGTGATTAGGACCGTTGTTTTAAGGGCAGATATTTTCTTGGGTGGGGAACGTGCGTTTATGGGCAGCAGTGGTAATGGGCTTCTGTGACCGATGAACTTACCAATGTGTTGATAAGACAGTGGGTGGATTCGCGACATCTAGGTCTGTTGGGTGGGACAGCCCGCTTATCAGCATGTCTTTGCTCCCTACTGACATCGCATGTTGAAGTACATTGCCGGTGGGAACCAGTTTGGACGGTTCCAACTTTGGGCCTGTGAATTGTGAGCTAGATACCATAGGTCGTACGTAACTTTTGGTGAAATCAAAAACTCACGAGGTCCAGGTATGCTAACGCGCTTGAAAAGTGGAGCGACGTACCTAATCCTGGGGTCGTGATCATATGAGTTGCACCCTGGTCCTTTGTTCTGTTAGGAATGGTTAGGCCCCACAGGATTTGTTCTAATACTGGATGGTGGCAATTTGTGGTTCATGCGTTCACCGAAGCGATGAGTGGTAGCCTTGTACCCGCAACTGAAGTCGGAGTTATGATCAGAGAAATTAGTTAAGAGCTTTCTATTCCAAGGTAATGGATTATAATGCTTGATAGTACGCAACCGTATTGAAGTCCCTTTGACAACGAAATATTTTTCATCGTTGTCAGGCAAAATACGCCTGAAAATGCTCTGTCTAATGTTAGCAGTGGGTTTAAGTCCCCGAGTTTTGCCTGAGGGCTTTCTGGTCCTAAGTCTATCCTTTGATGGGTTGCTCACCATACTTTGACTAGAGTGGTTAGTCTTAGGAGTGGAATTCTCAGGAACTGCCAAGTTTATTGGGGGAGTCGCATTAAGATCCACATGTCCCTGTTTCTCAGGTGATGCTGAAGGATAACTGCACACGTTTTCGCTGTCATATGTTCCTTCTATGCTTTCGGGTGCCTCTAAAATTGTGGAAGGAAAAGCTAAATCTTTCTTAAAGTGCTTTCTACGTTGACATGGTGTCCTATCTTGCATAACAGTAATGAGATATCCCAGGAGTCTGCGTGACTTACCTCCGCTATACGCTGCCTGCTCAGAAAAATTCAAGTCACAGGAATATCTGAGCCGTAGGTCCGAGAGGGAACCAAGTTTTGGTAGTTGTTGTCCAGATACTTCAAGTATCAAGTCAAGGTTACAGTTACCAATGCAGGCCCATCCTCATTTGTTATTGTTGAACTGTGTAAGGGTATCGGCAGGCTAAGAAGAGGGCTCTCCTAGTTGTCGGTCTATGTTTTAACACTCTCCTGACCCACAGAAAGCGTCCAACTGTCTCCGAAGTTCACAGTTATCTCATACCACGGCGGAATAAGACCTAGATTGGACGTTACAGAGAAACTGTGCCATCACACTTCTCCCTTTGAGTCTGTGGGCACTAGAATGCATTACAAGCAGGGGTGGTCTGCGTCCCATCTATCGAAAGTTTCAGGAGAAGTCTAGACAGTTACACAGAGACCCACGGTACGCTGACATGTAGCTGGGATGCCAATCAAACGGAGGAAACCTACTGCTGTCACGCCATTTCAACTGCGCAACCCCTACACCAGATTTTATTCTACTGCAATCATTCAAGCCCATTTCACCCTCTTCACTTGCTATGAATAAGCATCACCTGCCTAAGTTCACATCTTTGCACCCTCGTCCCCTCACTTGGTTGTAAGTGGGTTACTCCATCTGTTCACTTTTCTTTGCCTTGTACTCACATAATTCTGTATTTCTAGGTTTTCTCTTCACTATCCCTGCCTCTCTGATGACCGGTCCGAACAACTGTTTGGCGACTCGACATATGAAGGACTCAACTGCACCACAGTCTAAGGTAAACTAACCGACGCTTGACCCCTCGTTCTGTATACCAGAGTTATAGCAGACGAGTGGCTGGACCTACCACACTGGAATCCTCTCAAGACTTCGGGCCGCTCCTCAAGACCAAGAACCGAGCAAGAAGAAATCAACTCGTTTAAACAAGCTCGTTAAGCAGAAATTGGAAACATCTAACCAGAACTACTATGGGTAGGCGGCTAAATCTACTGTATTGGGATCAGTAGAGAACCTGGAAGTGTCCCACAAAACACAAAGAGTGACCTGAGAAAACAAAGTGATGCATGTAGGCTCGCGAAACAGATACTGCAGAAGGGGGTGTCACTAGAACCCCCTTGGCATGGTTTACGGTGTACAGAGAGGACAGAGAATTCCGCGCCAATTTAAACAGAATTCGATCATCCCGGAGGAATGCAAGAACAGGAGTTCCTCAAAGAGCAATCCTTGGGCCACTCCTATTTTTACTAGACGTAAGTGACCTCCCGATTAAAATCTCCTCATCTACTTTCCTATTCGCCGGCGACGTCAAAATATGGAGGACGATAGATGATGAACAGGATCCTAGGGGGCTCCGAAGCGACCCGTTGTGGCTGGAATCCTTGTCAGCTGCAAATGGCCTGGGCTTTAGTTTGGAGAAGTGCAAAGTGGTGTATGTTAGCACACCAGAGGCCACGAAAGTCAGCTACACTCTTATCAAGCAGGTAATCACCAAGATATCCACAGAGGAGGGTGTAGGACTAAACTTTTCTGACACTCTGGATACTACTGGCATTTATTAGGGAGTGACAGCAAAAGCGAACGCCATTATGTACTTTCCAAGAGGGCAGCTTGCATTGTTAACCCAGAAATTATTCCTTATGGTAGATAAAACCTACGTTAGACCACACCTAGAGGTGTTCAACACGACAGCCCCCCAGTACAAAAAGAGACGCAAACACCCTCAAGAATGTACAGAGAAGAGCAACAAAGTCGGTTGTCGGGCCAACAGGCGAAATCTATGCGCAACGCCTCAGACAACTCAACTTGTTCACACTAAGCTATCGACGGAAACGATGAAGGCTGGTCCACGAAGTGGACCACTCAAATAGGACAACGTTATCGGTCTAAAGCCGACAGTCCCGTGGGAACCCCAATCACAAACCCCACCATAGGGCAAGGACTAGAGTGAGATAAAACTTGTTTTCCCATGCAGTATGTGTCTTATGGAACGCGCTGCCGAAAGAAGTGGCCACGTCTACACCAATCAACTCCTTCAAACGACTACTTGATGAGTATGTGATTGCAAATGCCTTGCCACGAACATTTGTCAGTGGCAACTGATGATACGCCCCTCCACCCTTGTATTCCCTAGCCCTGGCATCTGCAATAATAAGTATCCTCCATATTATTACTAGTTACATTTATCTTTTCTTAAACACTTTTCACTCCTCTTTTTCCCATTCCCAACTCACCCTGTTTCTATCACTTTTGAGTAATGCTTAACATCTACCTGCAGGTACCTTAAACGACAGGAATAGCAAACGGGTGCTTGGTCTTATCGGGAGCTTCGTTGCCTCTCCAAACAAACCAAGCTACAATTTGCAAATAAAATACCTTCTAAAAGACAATCATTACCTCCAGAGACTTCTGCAACCATCAAAATAGTGCCATCGAACAAAAAGAACCGAGCCTCAAGACCTAGAAGCAAGAGGTCAGAAACTACAAGTTTCCTCCACTCGCACTATTGATGTTGGATAGCATTCCGAAGCGGTCACTGAAAGTATGTAGTCACTCTTCAAGGTCAAGTGCGTTATCGTGCTTGCTACTTGTTAGGCAAGTAATTATTATCCTATTCAGTAATAATTTTTGTAACCGTCCACTTTCAACGATACTCTCCAGTTAATCATCTCTGCACCTTTCAGATCACATTAAGACGTAATATAATTTTGAGTACTCATCTTCACATCAGGATGTTAGTAATTTATTGCTAATGATGCGGACTCGAAGGAGAAAAAGAGCGCCGATTTCTCTCACCAACACCTTATCATTGTACTCCTACTTTCTTCTTCCCTAATCCCGTTATGTTAGTTTGGGTAGTCTTGACCCAGTTAACGTTTACTGGGTATGTACCCAGTAATGTACATTTTCGCGGCAATACGCGCGGCCATTATTACGTCTCAAAAGTTATAATAATTTCGAAAATTAGGCTTCAAAATATATTTGATGTGGCTATCCAGTGTCATACTAATATTTACTACCAGCTTCGTAATCTTGTGTAATGTGTTCAAACTTCGTGTTGTAGAATTAGTGAACGGCGGTTCTTTGAGTTCTACGTCTGTTTTATTGGAATACATTCTGGGTTTGGAATGGTCACAATTATCTTCCCGGTTCCGAAAAATCTGGAGGGATAGAGACGAACGATTATTAATTAATCTGGTCTCAAGGTAGTATTACTGCACCTGGTCTGCAGATGACGGAAACCCATCGGTACGTAGGACTCAGGGTGTCCGTCTAACCTCCCTTTAAAAGTATTAGGGAATGGGGCTGTAACAACTGCTGAAGGAAGAGAGTCCCACAGTTTACAGACTAACCGCGAATGAGTTAGCACAGAACTTTGTACGTGCTCTTTCATGCTCTATTCTTAACGGGTGACCTCTAAGGTCGCATTTCTGAGTAAAGCTTAGAAAGGATCTGCTAGGATGAAGAGGATTATGGGCCATGTGGCACATCATCTTCATGTCCCCTCTGATCCTCTAGTATTGTACTGGATGCAGCAGTACGGTTTGTGCCGTAAGCCAGTTACTTTCTTTGTAACCCTTCTCTGTACCCGTTCTAGGATGGCTATGTCCTTCTCCAAGTATGGGGACATCACAAGCGAATTTTTCTCTAGGTGAGGACGAATGTACAGAGCATATACTCTGGTGAAAAGAGAAGGAGTTAGACCCCCTAAAGTTCGCTAGAGGAACCCCAAGACTCCACAAGCCTTGTTGGCTGCAAGGCGACAGTAAACTGAGGCTCCTAGTGTGTCACTTATTGTAACTTCCAGATCTTGTTCCGTGTTAGAGTGACAGATATTTATTTCTTCCAGAGAGTAAGAACTGAGACTGCTTTTATGTTTGTCAGCTATCATTATCCGACACCTTTCTAGTTGAGAGGAGGCAGTTTTTCTGTAGTCCAATTAAGGGTTTTCGCAAGGTCCTCCTGGAAGACTGAAATATTCGTTGGCACCTGTATTTCCCTCTAAATGTTTAGATCGTCGCGAAATAATAGTGAGTGAGAATTAAGGGCTCCTGTTAAGTCATTGATAAAAGCAAGAAACAGTAGTGGGCCCAGAATAGAACCTTGAGGCACACCATTCACCATCGTGAACCAATTAGAGAGGAGCCAACTCTGATTACAACCTGATGTAAAGATAATCTCTAAACCAAATTAGTAATTTTCCGTGTACACCCATGAGCCGAAGTTTCTTACAAAGGATATCATGATTTACCGTCAAAGGCCTTAGAAAAGTCAAGTAAACCAATGTGTATAGGCTTTTTCCTCTCGACAGAGAGTGTCCAGCTATTCCAAGCTATCAATAAGTTGGTGTTACATGACCTTTCTGGTAGAAAGCCATGTTGACAGTCGTTTAAGATTGATTTCTTAAGTAAGTGATTATGAAATGAGTCATTTATGACTCTCTCCATGACCTTCGCAACTGAAGAGATCAGGGAGATCGGCCTGTAGTTGGAGACAAGTAGTCTGTTTCCACCTTTATAAATTGGGATGACAGCCACCCGTTCCCAATCAAAGGGTAATCTGCCTTCCAGAAACGAGCATCTGAAGAGGTTTGCTAGTGGGGCACAGAACTACAGCACACTTTGAGTACTCTTGAGTGAATTCCATCAATTCCTGGAGACTTATTCTGGTTCAGACTCTATATGGTTTAGCCCCTCTGTAATACGGGTGTCCGACAGACTCGTGGTTTCACCTCCCAAATGACGGAAGTTTTGGAATTCATGAGTCACTAAGTTTTTTACCTCGGAGTTGGAATGGAGAATCTTTAGACTACTGGCGTCCTGTAAACTAAGTGAACTGTTACTCTTCTGTTTCATCAGCGAGTACAGTATCCCATGATTCCCCTTCAGAGTTCTACATAATTGTGTCTACTAGTTTATTCTATCATTTTTGATTCTTATCGCGCATAGCTTTTGAAAATATCCCTATAGTTGTTTTTGCAATATTGTTATAATTAAATTGCTAGGAAATTTTGACTAGACAGAGCATCTCTGTATACTTCTTGTGTTATATTTTTGTTTAAAATCTGTCTACTTGTATGCTTTAGCAATTATAAACTCAAATGGTGGTTGTACTTATTTACTATTTTTATTATTTGTCCTGGTGAAACATAAGGCTTCAGTAGCACCTCGCCATTTCACTCTCTTCAGTCTTTTGAACCTGGCTCTATGACTGCCCAGAATCTTTCGTTTCTTCCTCACACGATCTCCTCCATGTCACCCTTGGACTCCTAACTCGTTGTTTCCCATTTGGCTTCCACTCGAGGGCTTGGCCTGACCTGGCGCGTGATGTCCCCGATCGGTCTTCTCAGCGTATGCCCTGCCTAGTCACCGACTACCTCGTCACACAATGTTGACCGAAGTAGTTCCAGGCTGGAAAAAGGCCCGAGATGGCCAGACTGAAACGTGACACCAATGCATGAAGTCTCTGACTGTTGGTTTGAGCCATATGGGGCAATGCAGACTAGTCGGTTGGAGCCCACGGGACTGGAGGAACCGGTGGTTGGGGTCTCTAAGTGGTATGGCCGAGAACCGATGTCAGTGGCGCAGATGTATACTCACATTATCCCCATCTTAACGACGCCATACTGAATTTCACCACCTCACCATTCTTCCTTTCTTTCTTCTCGTACTTTATATTTCTTTTGACTGAATTTTCTTATCTTCATCTCTCACCTCACTGCCTTTTTACTTGGTGTGGTGGTATGAGGTGTGGCAACTCAGACCGTTATGCAGTAATGCCTAGTCTTATGTTGATACTGATGATGATGAGTGTATGCACAATCCGATCCATCGCCACTTTTTTCTGCATATTTGTTGGGCAATGGGTTCTTGGTTCGTTGCCAGCAAGAGTTAGTTGTTGCTTATTCTTTCTGACCATCTGATCTTCAGTGTCACTATCGAGTAAGCGTAGGCGGCGGCTGTTGATGTGATGTATATCTGTAGTGTGTTGAAAATGCTTTTTGTAACGCGCCAAGTCTCTAAAACATAACACAAAAGCACTAACTTGACTGGCATTAGTGTTGAAAATCCGGATCTTGTTCTTTACACTGAGTGCAGTAGATCTCCACACTGGTTTCAGATTAATAAAGGCCTGTCTTGCTGTCTTTCCAATCCTGGCTTTGATATCCTCATCTGTGTCTGTCCCACCTGTAGTTGAAGCGATGCTGCTTTGCCTGGGTAGGTGAAGGGGACTACTTTTTTCAAATCCTCTCTGTGATGATGATTGATACTTGTTGTCGATGTTGTTGGCTGGGTATCTTCATCACCTCGGTCTTCTCTACATTAACTTGAAGTCCCATTTTCGCTGCCACTTCTGACAACTTGTTAGTTTTTACGACAAGACATTAGACATAAATCATCATCGATGAAATACAAATCCTCTAGAGTCTTTTCATCGATCAAACAGCGTATGCCCCTCTTCTCACTCCTCACAACTTGTTGCATGATCAAGTCCAGTTCAGTCGGTCACAATGAGGAAGATGATTGGTGATAGTAGGTGGCAGTCTTGTCTTACGCCTGTCTTCACTTGAAAGGCATGAGTGAGCTGAGCTTTCCATTGTGAATCACTTGAGATGTAGCATCATATAGCATGTAGGTGTTGAATGAGGTTGATGTAGGTTTGTGGGACTAAAAGTGTAGTGTTGAAGCAGCTGCCTGGCAAATTACTTCTCAGTCGACTCTATCGAAGGCCTTTTAAAAATCGATGAAGTTGAGGTAGAGAGTTGACTGTCATTCAATGTTCTGTTCTATGATGATGCGAAGTGTAGCGTTGGAATTTGATTCGCACATGATTTGTTCCTCCAGAATCCAGCCAGCCTGTTCCGGTTGTGATTTTGAATGTAGAGTATATTTTCGTCCCTCCAGGATGATGCGTCATAATACTTTGTATGTTGTGGACGGTGGTAGAGCATGATTCCATGCCAGTTGTTGTTCTTGCAAATACTTAGATCATGGTTCTTTGAAAATTTGACAAGGTAACCCTTCTTCCAATCAATAGGCAGGTATCTTTCCTTCCTTCCAAAGCTTGTGCAGTAGTGGTGTGAGCATGTCCGCTGTTGTCTCTGTGTCTGATTTTAGTGCAGCTGGAGGAATCCCATTTGGTCCTTCTGCCTTCCTGAATTTCAGCAGTTTTATGGCGTTCAGAACTTGACTTCTGTTTTTTTTCGGAGTGCTTGTGCCCACTGATAATTCTGTGGTTGCTGGTGGTATTTCTGGACGAGTTGCAGGTGGTGGTGGTGGTGGTGGTCGGTTTTTAAGAGTTTTCTGAAGTGGTCATTTCGTCGTTTCCTTTGTTTCTCGTCTTTGGTAACTACGTTTCCTTCACTATCTCTCTCTCATCGGTTTCTTCTGCGTTGTTCTCTTCCATCCCAGATAGTAACCTGGTTATGTGATATAGTGTTGTCAAGTCTCTGTCTCCTACCTGCAATCTGTTCTGCTTTATTTGCCGGTGTGTCATAGTAGTGTCTTTTGCCTTTCGGTTCACTCTTCTTCACTTCTTTGTCCAGTGTAGTGTTATATAGGTTGTGTTGAGTTCCTCTATTCGTTGTTCATGCTTGCACTGCACTTCACTGGTTTATCTTCTGGTTCACCATCTTCCTCTCCCTGCTCTATTGGGTTCCATGTGTCCGTTGAGATCCATTCCTTGTCCGGTGTTGCTTCCTCTTCCTTTTTAACACACTTATCCAGGCTTCCTTACAGATTTCCTTCAAAGAGTTCCAGTGTTCTTCGATGCAGGTCCCTTCAGGGATATTGCTTAGTGTCGTCCATTTTTTTCAGATGACAGACTGACATGAAGATGCAGTTTGTAGTTTCGTCCTTCACTTTAGTTTGTGTTCTGGGTATTGAACGTGATTTGTTGTCTATCACTAACTTCTGTGAAAGCTTTCAACTTAATTTTGAAAGAATGTTCCTTGTACTAGATAGTGGAGTGAGTGGTGTGAACCTACATCTGCTCCTCTTCGTGATTTGATTTTGTGTTCAGTAGGCCGCGTCTCCACTTTCTTCACATTGAGATGAAGTTGATCTGATTTGTAGTGTAGTGTGTCCATCTGGTGTTTGGTGAAATCAAATCGATGTCGCTGTCTTGTGAATATCGTTGTGTTTGCACACACTGCCTCCAATCACCAACTCATCGAGTGCGCAGAATTCTGCAAACAGTTCTCCATTCTCATTCATCATTTCATTGATTGCTTCTCATTCCATGATGAGTTCTCTTCCTGTGTTGTTCGCTCCCAGTTTACCACTCATGTCACCCACGTCACCCATTAGAGTGAACTCTGATGTCGCCATCTGAGGCGGGGTCTTGTCCAGTGCTGATTGCAGTTGTGTGTAGAATTCCTCGTTCTTCTCTCCATCTGCTTAATTATTTGTAGGTGCACAGCGTGGCGTTGCATGATTGTGACCTTCCTTCCTTCCTTTTGAGTTGTATCCATCTTGATGTCATGATGCTGATCGTGTAGGAGATTGGTTCCCACTGCATGAGAGCCTTCGATGCTGTTGTGGACATCATGATAGCCACTCCAGAACTCTGAGTGCTCGTGGTTGTCGTTTGGGTGACAATATTGGAGTAGATTATTGATTCCTCTCCAGTTGACAGTTTGGAGAGTTCACTCCCATTCCATCTGCTTTCACAAATTCCTAACACTTCAATGCGATACCTTCTCATCTCCTTTGGAATCTGGGCAGCCTTGCTAGGTCCAAACATTGTGTGGACATTCCATGCCCCTATGTTTAATTTCTCTTCTATCGAGGGAGAGAAGAGACATTGGCCAATTGGCTTCTCGAAGTCTTTCACCAACCGGCGTCATTTCGCCTCTCCGATTCGAGCGAGGAATAATTTTGTTTTTATTTTTTATCATATCTTTGTGCTTTGAAATTGTGAAAAGCGCTATGCCTTCACACTTTTCTTCATTAAATTCTGCAGTTCTTGTTTGTTTCTCGTACACAGTTTGCCTTACTGTTTTCTCTCTAGCTATCAGTACCAATCTTGCGAAAATTCGCTCTATTTGGTCTTTATGTCCCTAGTTTGATTTTAAAAGGCCTTCCCCAACAGTATGGACGGTTGAGATTAGTGAAGATTTTGAAGCATGGGGGCATCCACATTTATACATAATATCTTTTGGTTGTGGTGTAAATACACAAAGTTTTTTGTGGTAAACTGCTGCACTCAGCCTTATTGATCAAAATCAACTGAAATAAAATAGACATTCAGACGCATTGGTTAAGCAGCTGTTCGCAGTAGTCACTTATTTATTGTCATCAGTTTCGTTTTGCTAGAGAAAATTTTGTTACTAACAGTAAATATCATTCTGGGGACAATCAAAAATTACGTTTATTGCCCCATGTATTCGTCATAAAGCGTACGAATTGTCTTCATCCTCTTTGCTACTACTTTCGCTAACCTACAAGAGATATGTGATTTGAATAACTGGTCTCTGACGACTATATATATATATATATATATATATATATATATATATATATATATATATATATATATATATGAACAGACCTGTTAAGAAGACGTCAAACACACAATGACGAAAATTTAGTAGGTATTAAAATATAAAGGAACGGAGATAAAAATAAGGTATTGGGAAAACATGTAAATAAATTATTACGACTGGGGAAGTAATTTACTGTAGGAGTAAGGGCAATAGTGAAATGATAAAATGACAGCAAAAAGAACCGTGAAACAGTTCTTTTATTCCAGACTATTTCTCCTCAAGTAAATAAGAAATTCTGCTTTTGTCTCAATCAGGATAATCACAGAGCGCGTGAAGTAAGCTCACTGATCGAACGGTATGTGTAGTTTAAAATCTTGCCAGCCAGTACTCAGTCATTCTTCAACCTATGGAACTTATATAAAGATGTGACTCTAGAATTTCTTAAAGTTTTGAGTTTAAAAGTTATAACTCAGTTAATACAGTAGATCAAATTCACAGCCGTATTATGGAAGTCATACAATTTCGGGCTATACAGATGCTTGGTAGATGAATTTCATTTTGTAGGCTCTTGATAGACTTAACGACTTTATCCAAAAGCTTGCTGTTATTGTTCTGAAGTAAATGTTTTTCAGCACTTCCATAGAAATGGATGAAAGGGCTGTGTGGGTTAATGGATAATCACATACTAGATATACGAATCTAAAAACTGTAACTATGGTTACATGAATTTTATCTTGCATATTTTTAATACATCTTTTGATGGATGATGTATAGAGCGTAACCCAAATACTCCCGAGATATCTGTTCTGGCTTCAGTGCACAGATTAGGGGGGAGTTTGTGCTTGTACCTGAAGACACTAGCAACAAATTATGTCGTAGATACAAAAGACTTTTTACCTTATATTAATAGGGAAATTGTCGCGATGTTTGTAATTCTGTAATTCTATTATGTACTAAAACCATACAAACTAATGTATATTTTATACGTCCATTAGTAGGTATTTGAGTATTTTAGTGGTGCTACAAGTCAAATGGCCTGGTAAACGATAATAAAGCTTTGTTCAATTGCGTCGAATTCTACCAAATTTCTATAGAAGATTTTAGGGTTTCTTATCAGTCTACAGGCTAGGTAACAGAGATTTATTCCAAGGGAAAAAGTCCACTACTCGTTCTGATTTATGCTCTGCTAGGTTGAACAGTTTAGCTGAAAGGGAAGGGTATCGGTACACATGCTACTATAGACAAAAGTCTAAAGTATTTTAAATACCTATAATGACGGAAGATTTGGCGATTTTCGACATTTTCTCGAAAACGTGAACAGATCGATGGGTTTCCCGTTTTTCTTTCCAAAATTTAAAAGTAGCTTACAATAAATTTCTGCTTGATTTCGCTTTCCTTTATGCCCACTAAATTTGTCCACTATGACACCTACCTCTGTACGCTTGGTGTTTTTAGACAGCCAGTTAGCGTTTCGTGTGATCCATATATAAGTTATTTGGAATTAAATTTATTTTTTGGGGTCATAGCATTATTATCGGCATTTTTGCGCGTGTATTATTTGCCAACATGAACGACAACTATGACGAAGTTTTGTGACACACGAGTTGTAACTAAGCATATTTTGTTTCTGATAAAATGTATGTAGTTATTACTAATTTTTTTAAACAAAAACGTTTATGTCACTGAGCAGAATTCTTATTATATTACTGGTGTAAAAGAAGAATGTAGTGCTTGGAGCTGTGAAGGTGTTGCAACGTCTGGTTTTGTTACACATAAATCATTTTTCGTTTTTAGTGAATTGACATCAATCTATTAGACTGATATTGTAACACTAAAATCTAGAATTGTCTAGTGGTTAATATACTCTTTTACTAGTCATTGTTCTGCAAACGATAACCAAAGATAAACAAATCTGTGGTAACTCTGGGTCACTTTCGCATTTATATATACTTACAGTAGATACATTTGCTTATACTTTCTTGCCACCATTTTTACATTTGGTGAAGAGACTCACCTCAAACATTCCTTTTCTATTTCAGATTCTCTCTTCAACGAGTTAGTTACTTTGTAATTAACTACTTTGCGCATTGTATCCAGTGTTATTAATATCACAGCTCATCACAAGCTTCAAGAAAAAAATCTTGTCATGAATTGTTCGAAAATTGGATTTCACTTCGGAGTAGTACAACCCCTTTTAACAGGTATCACGTACATTAAACCTGTGTTCCGTTATTATCTTATTTTAGTCGGTATTTCATAGATATGATCTGAAATTTCTATCGTTTAATCAGTGATTTATTTCTGCAAGATAGATTGTTATTGAAGATGGGAAAATATATTTCCAATTTCAGGATGTATACAAACTTACTATCTTATTTTCTTACTTGATTGTAACTCCTGCGTCCATTAAATATTTCGCTTTTGAAATACTAACCTTAATGCGCTTGGAAATTTAATTGTAGTTGTCAAAAAGTTCTCACTTTATTGGTTATGATTCGTATTCATTATTTTTAGGGGAATTGTTTATGCTATTTTAGCATTCGATTTTAGCTTGTGGTTTGAAAACTATGTAACCTATTCATGTCTGCGAAATTGAGTGTTACGTTTTACTCGTTCAACAAAGCATCTATTCTTCTGGGGATCAATATGCAATTACCCTTTGTCTTAACCTAGAGGTTCTCCACATTTGGGATGTAAAGAATAATTTCTACAGCTCTCTTATATTTTACTCATGTGAAAGGCATGTTGAGAGAAAAAGGTGAAAACTTATCACTGAATATGCGAATTAATTTTTAAGATCGCACGTTAGATCCATAAAAGATACTAAATCTTTTGGTAGTTTTTGATAGAAATCTTTCTTTTTTTCCGTAAATCATTTTATGTTTGGAAAGTATTTACTGTTGGTATGAAATTATTTCTTGTGAGATGTAATTTTGAAGAGCTATCAATCAGTTCTCGAAATTATTTTCGTTAGATGTCTTATCTACATTTAATACTTAAGGATTTTTATTCTCTGGAGACAGTACCTTGCGACTGGTAGCTTTACGACCCAGGACTTGCACTTCGTTTTATTTGTGGTTCATTTTTCTCAGTTACTTGTGTTCTAGTAAATGATGTTTTCTTATCAGTGGGTTTGAGCCTCAGCTGGTTTTCAGAGGATGCATTTCATGGAGGAATGGGAATATTTGTGCGGTAAACATGTTTATCAACAGAAGTAGTCTGCCAAACTGCGGCTGTCTCAGATAGAGTCAAATGAGAAGTAAAATTGTTATGTACTCCTGTATCTAAGATTGATGTGAGTGTGTGATGTATGAGATAATAATACTTATGAAAGTAGTAGTATACCAGGGTGAAGCTGAAACCACTGATTCACTTCTCTTTGGTGCATTTAGCACCAAATTATATGACATACAGATAATTTCGAAGATTAAATATGTGTAAAGGCTTAGTGAATGCAGTTTTAGACAGAAAGATACTTTCACAGATGTATTGGGTGGATCCGTAAATTTAAGCAAGTAAACCACCAGTGGGTATAGCGATTGTGAAGACCAAAGAGCTACCTGCATTTAATGGAATATGCCACTCCAGATAATAGTGTATATATCGCAGGATTAAGGAAGGTATGTAACTAATTAGGTATGTTCCTATTCACTAACTGGACTAGAAAATTTCACCTAGTAACGAAACAAGAGTGCAACCCACGAATTTCATTTTTTTCGAGGGTTTTTAGTTGACACTAGAGAGACTGACTGATACTTTTTCGTTTTCAAAATAAAAAAATGAGTAAAGCTTATTGGTTCTATATGGAAGAAGAAACTGAAACTTGTTGACCTGGGGGTGTAGACTTCTCGGTCAGTCGTATAGACTTTTGTTTGCTGACGACGTCTACTCAATGAACATTCCATGTGATGTTAAACAACCTCGCCTGGTGAACTAGTTCAGTAGTTACTAGCCGGTCCTAAGACCGGGTAAAGAGGGAAGGTTGGGCATAGGGCTAGCAACCCTACCCCGTAAAACAAATCCAACCGCTAAACAAACTTCAAAGCACAAAGATATGATAAAAAATAAAAACAAAATTATTCCTCGCTCGAATCGGAGAGGCGAAATGACGCCGGTTGGTGAAAGACTTCGAGAAGCCAATTGGCCAATGTCTCTTCTCTCCCTCGATAGAAGAGAAATTAAACATAGGGGCATGGAATGTCCACACAATGTTTGAACCTAGCAAGGCTGCCCAGATTCCAAAGGAGATGAGAAGGTATCGCATTGAAGTGTTAGGAATTTGTGAAAGCAGATGGAATGGGAGTGAACTCTCCAAACTGTCAACTGGAGAGGAATCAATAATCTACTCCAATATTGTCACCCAAACGACAACCACGAGCACTCAGAGTTCTGGAGTGGCTATCATGATGTCCACAACAGCATCGAAGGCTCTCATGCAGTGGGAACCAATCTCCTACACGATCAGCATCATGACATCAAGATGGATACAACTCAAAAGGAAGGAAGGAAGGTCACAATCATGCAACGCCACGCTGTGCACCTACAAATAATTAAGCAGATGGAGAGAAGAACGAGGAATTCTACACACAACTGCAATCAGCACTGGACAAGACCCCGCCTCAGATGGCGACATCAGAGTTCACTCTAATGGGTGACGTGGGTGACATGAGTGGTAAACTGGGAGCGAACAACACAGGAAGAGAACTCATCATGGAATGAGAAGCAATCAATGAAATGATGAATGAGAATGGAGAACTGTTTGCAGAATTCTGCGCACTCGATGAGTTGGTGATTGGAGGCAGTGTGTGCAAACACAACGATATTCACAAGACAGCGACATCGATTTGATTTCACCAAACACCAGATGGACACACTACACTACAAATCAGATCAACTTCATCTCAATGTGAAGAAAGTGGAGACGCGGCCTACTGAACACAAAATCAAATCACGAAGAGGAGCAGATGTAGGTTCACACCACTCACTCCACTATCTAGTACAAGGAACATTCTTTCAAAGTTTGGTTAAAAGCCTTCACAGAAGTTGGTGATCGACAACAGATCACGTTCAACACCCAGAACAGATACTGAAGGACGAAACCAAACAGGAAATTTTCACGCAGCCATCAAGACAGTGTGGGGATATCGAGGAACATACCTGAAGAAACCTGTGTGGATGAGCACTGGAAGTTTTTGAAGGCTATGTGGTAAGAAGCCTGCATAACCGTTTTAAGAAGGAAGTAGATGAGGAATTGATCTCGACGGACACATGGGAGCTGATCGAGGAGGGAGAGGAGGATGGTGAAGCAGAATATAAGCCAGTACAAGGATGAACGACGAGAAGACGAACTGAGTACAATGTATAAGACACTGGACAAAGAAGCGAAGAAGAGTGCACGCAAAGTCAAAAGACACTTCTACAAAACACTGGCAAGTGTAGCAGAACAGGCTGTAGGTATGAGAGACAGAGACCTGACAACATTGTATGAAATAACCAGGTTTATATCTGGGAAGATATCAACGCAGATGAAACCTATAAAAGATGATGAAGGGAATTTAATTACGTAAGAAGAGAAACAAATGACATGATGGGCGGACCACAGAACTACCAGTGAACATAAATCCTCCAACTAAAGTCGAAGTCTTGAGCTCCATAAAGTTTCTGAAGTGTGGGAAGCAGCAGGACCTGATGGAATCCAACCAGAAGCACCGAGAGCAGGCGCAGAGTCAACAGCGGACATGCTCACACCACCATTGCATAAGGTTTGGAAGGAAGGGAAGGTACCTTCAGATTGGAAGAAGGGCTGCCTTGTCAAACTGCAGAAGAAGGGAGACCTCAGTGTTTGCAAGAACTGGCGCGGAATCACGCTGCTGTCTGCACAAAACAAGCAAATTATTAACCCGTATCATCCTAGAGAGACTAAAGGATGCACTGGATTCAAAGCTATTACCGGAACAGGCTGGCTGCCTTCAGGAAGTACAAATCATGTGCGGACCAAATTGCAACGCTTCGCATCATCATAGAACAGAGTATAAAATGGCAGTCAACCCTCTACCTCAACTTCATCGACTTTGAAAAGGCCTTTGACAGCGTCGATCGAGAAGTAATTTGGCAGTTGCTTCAACACTACGGAGTACCACAAACCTTTATCAGCCTCATTCAACAACTATATGAAGACGCCACGTGCCAAGTAATTCACAATGAGAAGCTCAGTGATGCTTTTGAAATGAAGGCAGATAGGATTAAGACAAGGCTGTCTACTACCACCCATGATATTCCTGATTGTAGTGGACTGGATTATGCAACAAACAATGAGGAGCGAGAAGAGGGGGATACTCCGGACCGGGGAAAAGAACCTAGAGAATTTGGATTTTGCCGATGACTAGTGTCTAATGTGACACAAACTTGAAGATCTACAGGCGAAAACTAACAAGTTGACAGAAGATGCAGGGCAGCGAAGACGGGACTTCAACTGAATCTAGAGAAGACAGAAGTGATGAAGATACCCAACCAACACCACCACCAACAACAACAAGCACTAATCACCATCAATGGGAGAAACTTAAAGGAAGTAGCCTCTTTCACCTATCTAAGCAGCCCTGTTTCAACTACAGGCGGGACAGACGAGGACGTCGAAGCCAGCCAGGATCGAAAAGACAGCATGACAGGCGTTCATTAGCCTGAAACCAGTGTGGAGATCTTCTGCACTCAGCATGTGGAACAAGATGCGGATTTTCAACACCAACGTCAAGTCAATGCTTTTGTATGGTTCAGAGACTTGGCGCGTTACGAAATGGATTTCCAACAAACTACAGATATTCATCAACAACTGCCTACGCTCGGTACTGGCACTGAAACTCAGATGGCCAGAATAGTAAGAATAAGCAACAAGGAACTCATTGTGTCTGGCAACGAACCAACCGAGAAGCTATCGCTGAACAAATATGCAGAAGGAAGTGAAGATGGATCGGATTGGGCATACACTGAGAAGGCCGACTGGAGACATCACGCGCCAGACCCTCGAGTGGAACCCTGATGGGAAGCGATCAGTTGGGCGTCTTAGCCGAGGGTGACATGGAGGAGATCGTACGAGGAAGAAATGAGAGCTTCTGGGTTGTCGTGGAGTCAGGTTCAAAAGATTTCAAAGAACAGAGCTCAATGGAGACGTGCTTCTGAAGCCCTATGTTCGATTACGAAATCAAGGGACAAATAAATAAATAATGATGTTAAACAAAGCATCTCCGCTGAAAGATTTCCACCTTCAGTAATAACAATAAAACGGAATATACAGCCACATTTTAGGAGAAATAAAAGTGGTTCTCCATTACACCAATGTCATTTTCCGTCACATGTCATGTCGCAACAGTCTGTTACATCTATAGCTCAGAGGAAATTTGTTATTAGACAATATTGGTAAAATAAAGGGTCGCAGAAACCGGTTAGTTTTTAGAAGGCTTCTAACTTCACTGACTTGTCGGTCAGTTAGTTCAGTGATGATCAGTGTTTCTAGTTCAATGTCTGCAAAAAGGATTTTTATATATAAACAGATTGTGTTCACTTCTGTCCTACATATCTCATTTATCGCTACCCATAAGATCTATTGAATCGGTCGAATAAAGCTGATGCATCTGACTGACTACTTTAAATTTTATTTTCTGGTTTCATGACCGTTATTTATGTACACATACGCATGCCTAGTACTGTTACTTGTCGTTACTTGCCGTTTTGACCGATGTTATGATCATAACCCGGCTTGGGTTCCTTGTTAAGTCCTATAATTAACGGATTGAGGGGAATGTCCAAACGCCGGTCCTATCTCTTATTATCCCGAGTTGGTATGTTCTAGTTGACCCTACATCCAGAAATGGCACACCAGGTAACTCAGAGAGAAGAGAAATTTAGTTGACCAACCTGTGCAGTGCACAATTATTTGTATTTAACAGAATATATGAGGAGTTTAAAAGACCTTAAAGCGTAGGGAGCCTAATCAGAGAGTCAAACATTGTGAACGAATATAGTCACATGAAGGACATTAACAACTAGTCGATTGTCTGTCATTCTTTCTGGTTACGCTTACAACAAATCCAAATCCGTATAGCGAGATAATCTGAGCTACTTAGCTATAAATGCAACCACTTATTGTTTAGATTGTGGTATCCTTTGATCTGTTGCTGTAGTATGAAACTCAGCGAAAACTCAGTTAAGACATCTTTATCTTCAGCTACGAACATTTCTCGTCATATTTACCATGTTCATTTAATTATTTATATATTTGCATATTTCAAATGAATATTATTATTGAAAAATTATTTCATTTATTCCATTGCATTAGATTTTTATGAGTTAACAATGTCTTATGGTTATTGGAAATCTGGGAAAGCTAGCGATTTGGCTACATTTGAACTATTTTTTCGTAAAAATCCATTTAGTGGAGAATTCACTATATTTGCTGGTCTTCAAGATTGTATTGACTACTTAAGTTCATTTAAATTCACGCAAGAAGGTAAGTCAATTGTTTTTATTAGAAAGTGTAAAGAATGTTGTTATTGTCTGTGATATTTTCTATAATGTAAGTTTTATTGTAGTTTTTTCTTCCTCATCGCCTATTCAGAACCCTTATTAGCTTGTTTATTTGAGATGGCACATAGGAAGGCAGTATCATTTACCGGGTGACGTTTCAACCAGAATGTATTGCTCATATCCATATCAAAGTAATCGTACAACTTTCAAACTTGCTTTATAAAGTTAAACAATTCATTCATTTATTTTAATGGTAGTAAACGTCTCCAGATATCTGCAATATACGATGACTCATCCACTACTGTTCAATGTGTTAGGTGTTTATTCAATGAACAAACATTATATGATCAATCTCATCCTCCACTTAGCAATACTGAATTTTAGAATTGTAAATTTATCCCATTGTATAATGTGATTATGAGTCAGTTCATGCAGAACGGTAGTTGGTTTCTTCTCTAAAAAACTTCTCTTGATAGGGTCTACCATCGTTTGTTTCGCTAAATTTTTGTGCTCTGCTATTCTGACTGACACGAATCGGCTTCTTTGACCTAGATATTTAGCCTCAAAATCATTACATGGATCTTTAACCCACTAAGTCTCTCTGAACGAGTTTATGGGTATCAATGCCACCGTAATCCCAGCATTGTTGAGAATTCTACGTAAATTTTTTTTGATGTGCCTTCTTTATTCAGCAAGAATATAGAGTGTTTGATTTTCCTCTTAGGTATGATGCAGTCACCACTAATATGACCACTCCTTCTCTTATCAGTGCTTATAAACCATTTAATTAATTGCAGGGGGTAATTTTTAAGAAGCAATATTTCACCTATACGTTTTAGTCCCTTATCCAGGTTTTCTGACTTACTAGTCAAACTCCTGGCCCGGTTGCTTAGACATTTTACCAAGTCTACCTTGACAGATATGGAGTGAGATGATGTGAAATTTAAGTATCCATTCACATGTGTTAGTTTCCTACAAACACTGATATATAAGCTTCCATCTTCTCTCCTCTTTGTTTGCAATCCAACATAGGTAATTCTCCTTCTTCATTTGCTAATTCATAAGTGAATTGGATTGCATTTACTATTGAGTTAATGTGTGCGGAAAAACTTTGGATTTGTTCTGATTTCAACACATGGTATTTGATAAGTTAGGTTATTCAGAATTGTTAACTTAATGACTGGAACATGCTAGGTATCTATTTATTAAAACACTCTATGGCTTAAAGCTTACCCTGTTAATAAGATATTCGTGATAATTAGAACAGTTAGTCCGTTTTCAGCTAACAGCATACTGAAGAAATTGTTTGGGTAGAATACAGTATACTTTTCTTTTCCCGAGCACTTAGTATAAAACGAGAATTCAGATGTGGAACTGGTCACCAGCATCAAGATCTTAGTGCCTGTATATGAAGTTAAAAGGTAATATAGAGGGTCACTAATTTCCTTGAAATTAAAAATGAACTTTTGTGATATCTGTCAAATGATGTCATAGCAACAACGTATGTTGTTTCTTATTTACTATTAACAGCTATTTGCTTCAGAATATAATGGATTAAGATTCGAGGTAGTTACGTATGTAGACGCCTTCTATATAATTCAGACATTTTGGCAAATGGCACGATGTAGAACATTTTATTGGTTACCGTTTGAAGGCTTATTCGTAGGCTTTACTGCATATTCTTTTGATAACCTGCATGATCTAGATAGATTTCAAACACAGTAGAGCTGTGGCTCAGTGGTTTAGGGAGATAACTATCAAGCAATTGGCCACGGGTTGGAATCCTGCTCCACCTACCTAGGTGTGGACAGCCAAGTATTATCACTAGCTGTCAAACGATAGGTTTGGCTTATTGCCTACCACACGAATATGCGTTTTGTTCATTCGTTCAACCATAATTATGGTCATTTGATCAGCCAATTATACGCAAATACGTAGATTTAAAACTTCGTTTTAGAAACCAATTAAGTCATTTTCGGGATTAGGCAATGAATTGTTCAAGTGGGAAGATGGATTTGTCGGACATCTGGAAAGAGTATAAAAAGAGTATACATTTTACAAAATGCTTTTTAACTATACGAAATTAAGAAGCCTTGTGCTAAAGCGATAGCTTGATTACGAGTTAAGCGAGCAGAGAAAGGGCTGTATTGAAGAAAAGTTCAATGAAACAGGAAAGATTATATTTCAGGAAGTTACAATATATATTCATGGAAATATTAAACGCTGCATTAAAGTCATGTCGGCAAAGATTCTCCTTTTCTGCATCCCGGTGTGCAACGTTCCTGATCATTCCAGTTTAAAAGAAAGGAGAAAACTCTCCTAATGAAAACCATAGGGGAGTCAGTTTGACTGATATTCTGTCCAAGACCTAAGATCCATAGTTATTTAACGTCTAACTGTAGCTCGACAACAGTAAAGTCTCGGGGACTAGGCAGCCTTCAAACGTGGACAACGGTGTATCAATCATATGTTCTCTCTTCAATGGGTTTTGGAATACAAGAATACTTACTAGTCACCGAAAATTGCCATATTTCTTCACCCGAAGGCGTTATTTGATTCTACAAACCGAGAGATGTTGTGGCTTTGTTCGACTGTAAAAAGAGTATCGAGCATGTAGGTAATTTTAATCAAAGTTTTCTACTCGAACTCACGCAGTCATGTACAGGCTTATGGTGACCTGAAGTGACGACAACTAGTGGTATTGGCCAGGGATGCTTTCTGTCGCCGTTCTTGTTTAACTTCGTCATGAATGTACTAGTGAATGTAACATTGGGTACCTCTGATTTCGTAGGGATTAACTCACATTGTGGAGGCGATCTGGTTCACTTGAAGTAGTCAGAAAGAACTGTCAGTTAAGACGCTGATAAAGTGCGGGTATTCTGAACGCCTTAAACAGAAATATGAGTATGTCTGGTATATGTCTCGCATCTGTCAAATGTAAGACAATGTTACAGGACTGACCTGCAAAGACTCGGATTTTAAGGATAGGAAGTGAAGTAGTGGAATATGTCGACCAATTCACTTACTTGGGGAATCGAATCACCTTGGACGGGCTGGTTGCTGAGGAAACCTCAGCTTGGATACATATGTCCCGCCTCTCATTCACCAATTTGTGTCACTTCTGGCGGCGAATATCTATTAAATGACAAGTATGCTGCAGTTGGTTTTGCTCTGTTATGCGGATGTGACTGCTAAAAGTAGAAGGTATAAAGCGATTACAGACTTTTGACTAAAAGTGTTTTTGTAGCATTGCTGGCGTATGATAGAATCACCGTTCGGGAAATGTTGAAGTTAGGTGAAAGATACAAGGTAGGAGAGGCAAGTCATTTGATGAGATAATGTACCTTCACCAACTGAATTGTCATTGATATGTGTTGTACAAGTGGAGTCACTGCCTACATCGATCCGTAGACTGGAAGTGGTTAGACTAGGACGGGGCACTAGTACATGAAGTCTCTGAGTGTTGTGCTGAACCGTATAGGGGGATGTAGACTGCCTACTTTCCTTCTATATACCCTTGTCTAATTTGAAATAACATATATTCTACTCACTTTTTCTTTGCATACTGTGACAATTTAAACTGATTCACTTCTTTACAAGGTCCAGCGTAGATTTTTCATTCCTGTCTATTTCTACTCGCTACATCTATACTCGATATTCTACGTTCCCTCTAAAATTTTCACCATCCTATTGTTGTTACTTTTTGTTTTTTTCCGAGATTGCTGTACATACTACTGATATACGTTCTTGTAAGTAGTGTTCTTTACGGTACCACAGTTGTTCAAAATAGTGTATATCAACAGGATGAATATTTTTCATCCTGAGTTACTGAAAAACGTATTTAACCAATCAGGCTAACTTCAAAGGTCATATCTCCATGGGTTATAAAAATTAGTTTGCTGCCACTTTTGTGAAGCTGTAACATGGGATACCCTAATAAATGACTTCATTACCGTTATTACCTTTTCTTTTATTAAGTATTTTCTGGAGATGATTTTGCATAGCTGATATAAAGCGTGTATTTTTATGTCAAACATTACAAAATCTATAGTCGTCGTTTGTAACCTATTTCACAACATCTTCCATCTAAACTATGTGTCATCAGTGCTATGTGTGGGTTTTATGTTAAATCTGCAAGTAACAGGTCAAAAATGTATGCCTAACTTAAAGTAGAAAAGAAATATGCGAATTATTTTTCGTTTATTAATAGATATGCTTGAGTTCGCGTTACAGCATTAGAATCTGGTCACTTAGTGGCTACGAACGTTGTATAGGAAACTTCTAAAGAGTCGTGTACAAACTACAGATAAAAGAGTGAAATACGAGCACTGTGGTAGAGTACAATTCCACATTAGATTGTTTTGTTTGATGTAGCATACAGTCAAACAGTATTACTTACTACATAAAATTTCAAGAAAAGAGAAAGTAGGATTGATTTATAGGATCGGTGGCGAAAGATGCATACTTTCAAAATAACCTTTTATCTTTCGCCAATACCTTTCACCAAGTTTCTAAGTCATCTATATATGGTTAAAACTAAGGAGTTTCGTAAGAAAATGTGTAACTTGTGCAACTCCTATCATTATTCTTACCAGTAAATGCTATTTGTTCACTCATCGTAGTTATATGCCTCTTACTGTAACACACTGTTTATCCCCTTTTTAAGATAGAAGGGCAATCAAATCGTTCATTGATCCGATAGACGAACAAGTTAGTCAAATTGAATATGCTCATTTTGGAGGGTTGTACGGATTTATTTGGTGATTTGAGGTTGATATTCATCATGAACTGGTATCAGTTGGAGAAACATTAGAAACCTGGAAGCACTGGACAGCTGTTTCATCCTAGTATGGGACTCCTCAGTCAATGGTGAATACTAACCTGAAATCAATCAATAAATCCTAAAAAGCCTCCAAATTGAATTAGTCTATTGCTCATTGGTGAATAGCTTCAAGAAGGGATTTCCGAAGTTCCAATTATCAGTCGTGATCGGTGGACCCAACCAAGTCGGACGTGAGGATAATTACTCAACGACTGCATTGAATGGAGGTCGCTCTGTGTAGTGAACTAGCAGAAGTAGAAAATGTGGGCCGTTGAATTCCGACCCAATAGATCAATGGCAATGTGATGGCCTAGGAACCTGGACGTCTTCGGTTTGACCACTGGTGGGGTCATGGGCACGCACTGCTGAGGCATCCCATACTAGGACGAGACACCTATTCAGTACTCCCATATCTCCAATCTTTCTCCAACTGATGTCAGTTCATGATGAACGCCAACCTGAAATTGAATATATATCAGTGATTTTGCTTGTTTCATGTTACAAGGATACATGTATCCAAGGAATAACTTTGATTTAGTTCTCCATTTTTTTACTTCATTGTTTTCAGATATTGAGTACTTGAAAACAATTATGCCACAAACTGTAGATCCTGATTTCTTTGAATACTTACTTAATATTGACACAAATGAGTTGTCTTTATGGTCAGTTGAAGAAGGTTCTGTTGTATTTCCAAAAGTTCCTATTATGCGTGTTGAAGGATCAATAATATTATGTCAACTTGTTGAATCAACACTGTTAAATTTAGTAAATTATGCCAGGTAGGTGATCATGTTATATATGAGAGTTTGTCAGGACATTTGATGAGTATATGACGTTTTGTTAGTTCAAACATCTGGAATTAGGTGGTGTGCAAACTATAGTATTGGCTCTGACAATACTTAATATTGACCTTAGTAAATGTTTGAGGTCCTTTCAAACGTGTCTTTCACATTGTTAAATTTACAGAACATCTTTACTTTTCAAGGCACTAAGCTGTGAACCATCATGTGTATTTCTAATGATAATACTCAGTTCAGATCATGTGAACCAGACGATTACACCACTCATTCACAAATTCACAAACAGATATTGAGTTATAGGTTCGAATCCACCACATCAACTTCAGCACTTACAACTTGATTGTACACATTATATATAACTCATTTCCTAGTAAATAAGCCAGTAATATATTGTTTAAGTGCACCATTATATGAGTTGACGTCTTCGTGATTATCTTACAAACCAACTCTGTTGATCATGGACTAGGATTAACTATGACTCTCTTAAGGTAACCAAATGCCTCACTATCTGGCTACCTCGGTTTAAGCTTCTTGGATCTAATATCTTTATGCTTGGCTACCTTGCTTGTTACCTTCTGAGCCCAGCTGCGGACGGTTAACCTTCTCGTGGTCCCCGCTGTTAAGCAGGATGAGGCTGCATACCGTATCCAGCTCCCCCCTGAAAACCAAAATAAAAACATCCGTCCCATGATGTAGACATGCGACCATGCGTCGTGTGCACCGTTGGGTCGAAGCATAACCTACTTTGCATAAAACGGGGATGCGAATAGACCACTGGGACGAAAGCGCCCTTATGGTTGCACCACAGGATGAGACTGTATATCGACCTGGTTCTATAAAGCCTTACGGTATGTTTCTGTTCTCTCTTGGAAAACCAAATATATGGAAATCACTTTGTGATTACACTGGTTTGCTACGTCATCCCATTATATGTTGATCTTGCGTTAAGGCGCTGTCGATATTCTATGTGAGGGTAAGGCATATTCACCCTGCAGTGAGTATAGGTGCTAGTACAAAAATTTTGAATAAGGGTGCGAGTGCCAAACGGACCTCAATCTCTTGCTTTCCGGGTCAAGCGAATACAAGAATAAGTCCGTGGCCAATAGTCGGGGCGTCTGGAACCTTCAGGCGACTCCGATGACCGCAACACTGCATGAGTAGCAGATAATAAAATAAAAATATACTAGAGAAATATACTCCTATGATCGTGTGCATGCGAAACAACCGTTGTCCTAAAACGTTTGTTGTGTTCGATGAGGTCTTGTGTATGCATGAAGGCAAGGGCAGTACGCCTCAGTGTATCGGTTTGTCTGTGTATGTGCGACATGACAGGGCAGTCTTGAGAAAATGGAACTGACTCGGAAGTCGCACCGTGCACGTAGGTTACCTCCTTAGGCTTTATGTTGGCTTACAAGGAGTCCGGAGTAGACGAAAATTGCCTATCCATTGTGAAGAAGGAGGATGCCTTCACAGTGCCGAAAGGGCGGTGGGCGATGTCCGGGGGCTGTTGGAGAAATCTATTGGGCTTCGTTTCCGGCCGTCAAGGAAAATGGTAACTCCAGCGGGTCTGAAGTGGGGGCAATCAGACGACCACCAAAGATATCTGAAACAGTAAATCAAGGTATATGGTATGTTTGCGGGATGGTGGTGGTGGGGCTCGCTAATTCCAAAGACGTGCTGAAACATCTCCATTGCGACGTATTAAGGTGCTTCCCCGTGTAAACACTAGTGACCCACAAGAACGAGCGCACTTAAGCAAAGTGAGCATTACGTGTTGTATATGTTTTGCTCGTGTCCCAAGTTGACGAACGTATCAAACTTGCACCTACCGAGACCAATTTCGGTGCACGGTCAGCGGTAAAATTTTTGGTAACCAAATGCCTCTGCTATAGAGTATTCGTTTTCATACAGAAGCGTTACTATGACGTTTCCTGATCGGTGAGAAGACCTACCCACCAGGTATGTGTTGGAACGTGCATAGGTCTAAAGACCGGCGCGGAACTTGGGGCTGAGCCGAAAACTGGGTTAAAACTCTTTTAACTGTTTGTTAGATATGGATTCAGATGTAGATATGTGGCTTTTCTTGATTATCCTTATATAATAGTGATTGGTGCTTGTTGATGCAATTACATGAATTGTGTGAATTGGAGTTGTTGGAACTGAATGTTTCTACAAAATTTTCTTGATTAGAGATTGGCAGAAAATTAAGTTTGTTGATTTCTGACTGAGCTTTATTGTATACCATAGTGTTGTACCTCGTTTAAACCTTATTGGTTATCAGTAAAAAACTATATTAGTAACCCTACTACAAAAGTGCATGAGAAATCTAACATCGTTTCTTGTAAAACTGGACTGGGAATAATAACTACAGCATGTTATTGACGTATTTATCGACAGCAATTTCAGCTTAGAACAAAACTTCCTCAAGAGGATTTTACTATATTCTTCACATTTGAAGTAAGAAAGTGTTTCTTTAATATTCCATGAAATTTACTTTAAAAATAAGAACCACTTGAACGAATATTTTATAAGGCACATTAGTTAAACTGAATATTTCAATGAAATCACATAATGAAATTCTAATTTCTCAAGCTACTAGTAGTATCACTATATATGACAATTTGTATGTATTTCGACATTAAGCTGAATAAAACAAAGTTTTTCTTTTAAAAGCCTGCTTGAATCTATCGATTTTGATTGAATAATTTTATTTAGTTCACTACAACTGACATGCTTAGGTTGTTTAAACTTGTTATACGCTATTGACATAGGTATTGTGTAACTAACTCATATAAACACATGATTGCATTCGTTGATTTTTAATTTAACTGAATTGTAGTGTAGGGGGAATTAATTTTCTTGATAATCACTGTAGATTTAGTTTTAATTCCTATGCTTGAAGTTTTCTCATGTATATTAAGGATATATAGTCATTTTGAAATCACATCAGCCTCTGAGTTACGTACCGATGTAACATTATACTGATTGAGCACGGTTTGAACTGAGATGGTGAGATATGGTTAGGTAGCTAGTATAATGTTGATGATAGGTGGTTAGCTACATGTCACTCATAACGACAGCTGTACAAAACCGTCAGTGATTATAATGAAGGTGATAATTGATGGTTAGTTGGTTCTGGTAATTCGGTTGCTGGAACTGTGGGATGGTTACCCAGATGTTGTGATAAATATATTCATTATCATTTGACCATCTGAGACAGCCGTAGTTTGGCAGACTGGTATTTAGACTGGGTGATAATTGAAGGTGAGATGAAAATCTGGACCGCGGCCGGATTCAAACCAGCGACCACTGGGTTACCAGCCCAGTGCTCTACCAACTGAGCTACGTGGTCCGACTGCTAATCAGATCTTTATTTCGCTTCAATTACCATGGGCTTTGCCCGACTACCGTGTGAATTCGTGACGTTTTACTATCTCTTGATCGTATTCACACTGGCTGCCTAATCAGGACTTTTCATTCTAATCCAAATCTAACTGAATCAGAGAGGGGAGCATCATATTGATTACCATTTGACGATCTGAAATAGCTGTAGTTTTGCAGACTAGTGATTGAAGTGAAATAAAAATCTGATCAGCAGTCGGACCACATAGCTCAGTTGGTAGAGCACTGGGCCGGTAACTCGGTGGTCGCTGGTTTGAATTCGGCGCGGTCCAGATTTTCATCTCACCTTCAGTCACCGCCCAGTATAAATATATTCGTAAATGAAGTTGAAAGGTAAAGTCATTCATTAAGTATCTTGTGGTCAAAATAGGGATAAATGCTGCACAAATTTCTTTGGAATACAAAGTTCCAAATTGTTAACTCGAATTTCTATAACCTCAGCTATGCGTAAAAGGCGAGTTTAAACTTCATCGGAACGATTCGGTAGGACTCAGTAAGTCGTCTTGAACACTTTCATTTTATCCACTTTGTAAACATGATCAACTAGATGCGGCAAAATAAAGTTTCTTCTAGGTTTCACTTGTCCTTTTCCCAATCACGAATCAAATAAAAGGCCATTATATGATCTTAACAAATGTCTGTAGATGCAGGTGATTATAATGAGATGTAGGGGATTCTGTTTATTTGCATTGTGATTGACATTTTCGGCAAGTTTATTTGGACTTATGACCAAGTGATTAGATGATGAAACCTCTTTGCTAATAAATGCATTTAATGTATTTTGAGGTTAGTGGGTGTTTTATTTTTGAAATGGTATTCATCGTGGACCGACATCAATCAGAAAACCATTGAAAACCTGGGAACATTGGACAGCTATTTCGTCCTAGTATGGTATTCCTCAGGAGTACGCACTCACCACCCACCAACCAACTGTCCAGTGCTCACAGGTTTTCGAAAATTCTCCGAATGGCATCAGTCCATGGTGAATACTATTCTAAAAACATATTTTAGTTTAAAACTGTATAGAATCTCCTAATCATTCATCTTCACTAAGTATTAAAATTGTTCAGAAAATATAAAAACACCTTGGTTATTATTATTTGTCTCTCGGGTTCCTAGTGGAAATAAGGCTCCAGTAGCACGCCTGCATTCTACTCTATTCTCAACAGTCTTTTGAACCTGGCTCCACAACTGCCCACAAGCTTTCATTTCTTCCTCACATCATCTCCTCCATGTCACCCTCACCTCGGACGCCCAACTCGTCGTTCCCCCTTCCGATTCCAATTGAGGGCTTGGCCTGACCTGGCTCGTGATGTCCCCAATCGGTCCTCTCAGTGTATGCCCAATCCACTTTCTTCTGCACATATGTTGGGCGATGAGTTTTTGCTTCGGTGGTTCGTTGTCAGTCGAGTTAATTCCTTGTTGCTTATTCTTATTATTCTAGCCATCTGGTCTTCAGTGTCAGTATCGAGTGAGCGTAGGTGGCAGCTGTTGATGTATGACTGTAGTTTGTTGGAAATGCCTTGCGCATCGTGCCAAGTTTCTGAACCATCACATAGAAGTACTGATTTGACTGAATTAGGGTTGAAAATCCGGATCTTGTTCTTTGTACTGAGTGTAGTAAAGCTCCAACGTGGTTTCAGATTGATGAAGGCCTGTCTTGCTGTCTTTCCAATCCTGACTTTGACGCCGTCATCTGTGCCACCGCCAGCTGTAATTGAAACGATGCTGCCTTGCCTGGGTAGGTGAGGGAAACTAGTTACTCTAGATTTCTCCCGTTGATGATGCTTGTTGTTGTTGGTTGGCTATCTTCATCACCTGAAGGAAGTCCCGTCTTCCTTCGCTGCCTCACCCTGGCTCTTGTGTCAACTTGTTGGTTTTTGCCTGTAGATCTTCGAGTTTGTGCGACAAGATATTAGACATAAATCATCATCGACGAAATACAAATCCTCTAGAGACTTTTCATCGATCGAACAGCGTATGCCCTCTTCTCACTCCTCACAACTTGTTGCATGATCTAGTCAATCAATAGGCAGGTATCTTTCCTTCCTTCCAAAGCTTGTGCAGTAGTGGTGTGAGCATGTCCGCTGTTGTCTCTGTGTCTGATTTTAGTGCAGCTGGAGGAATCCCATTTGGTCCTTCTGCCTTCCTGAATTTCAGCAGTTTTATGGCGTTCAGAACTTGACTTCTGGTTTTTTTCGGAGTGCTTGTGCCCACTGATAATTCTGTGGTTGCTGGTGGTATTTCTGGATGAGTTGCAGGTGGTGGTGGTCGGTTTTTAAGAGTTTTCTGAAGTGGTCATCTCGTCGTTTCCTTTGTTTCTCGTCTTTGGTAACTACGTTTCCTTCACTATCTCTCTCTCATCGGTTTCTTCTGCGTTGTTCTCTTCCATCCCAGATAGTAACCTGGTTATGTGATATAGTGTTGTCAAGTCCCTGTCTCCTACCTGCAATCTGTTCTGCTTTATTTGCCGGTGTGTCATAGTAGTGTCTTTTGTCTTTCGGTTCACTCTTCTTCACTTCTTTGTCCAGTGTAGTGTTATATAGGTTGTGTTGAGTTCCTCTATTCGTTGTTCATCCTTGCACTACACTGCACTGGTTCATCTTCTGCTTCACCATCTTCCTCTCCCTGCTCTATTGGGTTCCATGTGTCCGTTGAGATTCATTCCTTGTCTGGTCTTGTTTCCTCTTCCTTTTTAACACACTTATCCAGGCTTCCTTACAGATTTCCTTCAAAGAGTTCCAGTGTTCTTCCATGCAGTCTTCTTTAGAGATGTTGCTCAATGTCTTCTATTTAATCCTAATGACTGGCTGACTGGAGGATGTAGTTTGTAGTTTCGTCCTTCACTTTAGTTTGTGTTCTGGGTGTTGAACGTGATTTGTTGTCGATCACCAACTTCTGTGAAAGCTTTCAACCTAATTTTGAAGGAATGTTCCTTGTACTAGATAGTGGTGTGAGTGGTGTGAACCTACATCTGCTCCTCTTCTTCACCTTGTCCCAAGTAGGCTGACTGCATCTCCACTTTCTTCACATTGAGATGAAGTTGATTGATTTGTAGTGTAGTGTGTCCATCTGGTGTTTGGTGAAATCAAATCGATGTCGCTGTCTTGTGAATATCGTTGTGTTTGCACACACTGCCTCCAATCACCAACTCGTCGAATGCGCAGAATTCTGCAAACAGTTCTCCATTCTCATTCATCATTTCATTGATTGCTTCTCATTCCATGATGAGTTCTCTTCCTGTGTTGTTCGCTCCCAGTTTGCCACTCATGTCACCTACGTCACCCATTAGAGTGAACTGTGGTGTCGCCATCTGAGGCGGGGTCTTGTCCAGTGCTGATTGCAGTTGTGTGTAGAATTCCTCGTTCTTCTCTCCATCTGCTTAATTATTTGTAGGTGCACAGCGTGGCGTTGCATGATTGTGACCTTCCTTCCTTCCTTTTGAGTTGTATCCATCTTGATGTCATGATGCTGATCGTGTAGGAGATTGGTTCCCACTGCATGAGAGACTTTGATATTCTTGGGGACATCATGATAGCCACTCCAGAACTCTGAGTGCTCGTGGTTGTCGTTTGGGTGACAATATTGGAGTAGATTATTGATTCCTCTCCAGTTGACAGTTTGGAGAGTTCACTCCCATTCCATCTGCTTTCACAAATTCCTAACACTTCAATGCGATACCTTCTCATCTCCTTTGGAATCTGGGCAGCATTGCTAGGTTCAAACATTGTGTGGACATTCCATGCCCCTATGTTTAATTTCTCTTCTATCGAGGGAGAGAAGAGACATTGGCCAATTGGCTTCTCGAAGTCTTTCACCAACCGGCGTCATTTCGCCTCTCCGATTCGAGCGAGGAATAATTTTGTTTTTATTTTTTATCATATCTTTGTGCTTTGAAGTTTGTTTAGCGGTTGGATTTGTTTTACGGGGTGGGGTTGCTAGCCCTATGCCCAACCTTCCCTCTTTACCCAGGCTTAGGACTTGCCAGTAATTGGTCAGCTATTTACTTGGTGGAAGTTAAAAATAACCGTTTGCATGAAGATATGAACACCAGCAAATTTCTTGTATTCTTCCTTTTTATTTCAAAAGTAGGTCCCTACTATGCTCTAGTTATTTAATGGTGTTTTTCTGTTGGTTATTCTCACTTCTCGTATTTTCTTTGTTGATTATCTGTCGCTGTACTGAATCCAGTTCCTGGCATTTAAATTAATTTTTCATTTTTTCACAGTTTATGTTGATCTGTGTTATCTGACCATTTACGCTACACACATGAATAAACAAAAGACACTTCTTTTAAATTTGTAGTAAGTCGAGTTATTATCATTTGCTTAAGGTTTATCACTTAGTGTCTGTTCTTGCGATCCAAGAATTCTTGAAAATCATTAGCTGAAAGTGAATATATCCAGCTGTGAAATTGATACGAAATATTGACATGCCCTTTATTGATGAGCATCAGTATGGGAGGATACAACCTGCCTCCGAGGTGTCCTGTTGGTTATCTCTAAGCAACTAGCATTACTGGTGTTCACACAAGGTGAGATGACAGCCATACTAAGACAAGGAAGATAAATGCTAGATAATATAACACTGATCATAATGGTAAGATGGATAGTGGAAATGAAAACGGAAGGAATGTTGAACTCTTTCTTCTTAGTTTTCCACCTTGCCCTTCTTATTGCTGTTTCTGGGGTAACTTCAGTCGGATAGTATTTTATATCGTGCTCAAATATACTAAGGAACCTTATGATAACTTATTTGGTTTCGTCACCAAGTGTAGACAATACTTCATAGGTGGTGTTGACCAGGTCAAACAGTCATTGAGCATTTTCAACTGAAAGCATTCGGGTTTTACATGCTTGAGTTTGTATATGTAGTTGTGTAAGTATCCCGCAGCGGGGAAACACTGATTTCTCATGGTCATGCTACATTTACTTATTAGTTTACGTAAATTTCAATTGGGTTTCATAAGCGCTGCATTTTTACTATACATCAACGCTAAAGAAATTTAAGCTTTCGAAAATTTTCCTTAACTTCATTGTTGATTTCTAACTGTTTCTTGTGTTAACCATGAAGATGAAAGTTCTCACAGGATTTTTCAGAAGAAATTGTCATCATTTTCCGAGTTATTTAATATGGTAAATGTTTTTTTATTCTTCAGTTTAATGACTACAAACGCTGCACGTTTCCGTCTAGCTTGTGGTCCAGACAAGAAGTTGTATGAGTTTGGTTTACGTCGTGCTCAAGGACCCGATGGTGCACTTTCAGCTTCAAGATATTCCTATATAGGCGGTACAGTCATTATTGTTACTATTATTATCATTATAAGTACTGTACATGATCTATGCAGTCTACAAAATCAGTAACGAAAGCGTTTCCCCTCTTTTGATACTGAACTATTACTTCACTTTATGATAGATTTATTTGGCTACTAAGAATTAGATTAAACATCTGGGTGAAGGAAATGTTAATCAGTTCTTATAAATCTGTATTCATTCAGTACGTATGTTTCTGAAAGACAAGATATGTTGGGAAAATGATAGCAGACTATTACTTTCTTATGATGTAACTCTACGTCTGGTTATTTTACTTTTTTTGGTGGTATCGTTACACACAATGTTGGCCGAAGTAGGTTCAGGCTGGAAAAATGCCCGAGGTGGCCAGACTAAAACATGGCACCAATGTATGAAGTATTTAACTGTTGGTTTAAGCCATGTGAGGTGATGCAGACTAGCCGGTTAAGGACTCTAGGTGATATGGTTCAGAACCTATGTTATTGGCGCAGATGTATACACACATTATCTTCATCTTAACGATGCTATACAGAGTTTCACCATTTTCTAATTTTTCCTTTCTCTCTTTTCTTACTTTATATTTCTTTTGACTGAGTTCTATTTTCTTCATCTTCTAATTCACTGCCTTTTTACTTGATGTGGTGATATGAGGTGTGGCAACTCGGATCGTTGCACAGTAATGCCTGGTCTTATGTTGATGATCGTTAATGCTTGCTATTCCGTACTATAATGATTAAATACATGGGACGTTAATCATCAGCATTTGAGGTCTTTACGCGTAACTATTTCGTCATGCTGATAGCTGGTTTCTAGAAGGGGTGAATGCGTATGACACACCTTTTATGAAGAAACATATGGTATTATGAAAAGGAAAGTATTTCTTTGAGTCGTATACTTGAATGTTCTCTACAAAAGGGTCCAGAATTATCCCTTTCAGCTGGTCACATTCATTAGAGGGCGAGAGAGTTGTCTGCGACTTTTAGGTTTGAATGTATGTGGTACAGAGTTTTAACCGGAGATCTTATTAATATGCTCCATATGATCATTTAGTAAACTGTACTACCTACCACAAGTTGGTTTCAGGCTGGTAGCCATTACCACTACCGTAGTCCAAAATGCTTATTGAATTGTTTGAATTTCTAGGCTAACTAGCATTGGATCTAGTTGCCTTGTATGCGAAGTTGGATAGCTGAATACAAGGCATTGAAGTATGCTTGTTGCTTTTTATCACCTAAGGATAAGGGGTATGTGTAACTACGATAAATTTCGTCAAGATCTTCTATTCTTTCCTGTTTTTTTAATTATTTTTAGACAGTAAAGATGTACGCATAAGTCATGTGTGATGATTTGTGACTATTCAAACAAACATTAAACCTACACATGAATCAATAAGTGATGTATGAGCAAACCATGAACGTTGTGTGCATATGTAATGATATTTGCATTGGTTATTTCTGTTCTATGTTACTATGATTGATATTATAACTTTATTGGTTATCGTTTAAATATTACTGGATCTACGTTATTTTGACCTCTTTGCTGTGAATAAAAGTAGTTAATACTGTGTGACTGAGGTTGATTAAACTGTTTGGCTAAACATTTTTGACTACTTCAAATATACTTGCTGCAATTACAAGTCTTGTTATCCCTGTGTTATTCTGAATTACTAGTGCAATGTGTTGACCACTTCACTTACTCAGGGAGTTGTATGCATTAAATCGAATTGGCTGGTTGCTGACGAAATCGCAACCCGTGAAAAGAAGACTCGTATAACATTTGCCAAATTGCATCGTCTGTGACTCTTCAACTAGTGAGATATCCGACTACCTATCAAAGGATGAGTATACTGCGTTGCTGCAATCCGTTCTGTCTTGTTTTACGCCTATGAGATATGGCCGTTAAAAGTAGAAACGTAAAGCGATTACTGGGTTTTGATCATAGGCATCTTCTTAGCATTGCTCGAGTTTGGTGGAAACACCGTTCGAATAATGCTTAGGTCAGGCGAAGGATACCAGGAAAGAGGTGCATGTCGATTGATGAGGTTGTGAACCTTAGTCGGTTGAGGTGGCTTAGATATGTACTGCACATGTTGAACCACCGCCTACCTCCACGTACCTTTCAGGGGGATGTTGGGTGAGGTTGTTAGAGAGTTCAAGGTGAACAGACGAAGACATGGCTCCAGTCGATGAAGTCTCCTATTGTTGATCTGAACTGTGTTGGAAGATGTAGACTGCCTGGTTGGGGTCACCAAGATGAAAGGAATCAGTAGTTGAGAACTCTTAGTGGCACGGTTGGAAGTCGGTCACAGTGTTGCAAATGTGTTCACTTTTTAACGTCTTCTAAAGCTTGAATATCCAAATTTTTTATTCTCTTATACAACTTTGTCTATTTTGGCATCACTTTTTTTTTTATCTGACTGTTTTTTGTTTATTACACTGAAATGTGACAACTGGGACCGATGCATTTGTATATGAGGTTGATTTTGTTTCTTTGATTAGTTCCAGTGCAGATACGAGTTTATAATTCAACTGCAAAAACAGCACACACCTAACGTATTGAGGCTAATGATGCTTTTTACTTTAGCCGAAACAGAGCAAGTTCGACCCTGTCACCTGATGATTGGCATGTTGAGCTACAAAATCACTGATTTTGTTTGAGTTATTTAACTTGATTTCAGTACAAAAATGCCATTGGTTTTTTCATTTATTATTATTTTCGCCTAATTTAGTTTATCCTTCATTACAGGTTATGATGGAACTAGTAATGTTTTGTCTGGGAAAATTTTTGGAATTCCAGTCGTTGGAACACATGCACACTCATTTATTTCTGCCTTTCAGGCAACTTGTATGTCAGTAAGTACTACATATGCTAACTAAATAACACTTACTTTCTATTTCTGCAATAGTAGCAGATATCAGATTTTGAATATGATTATTTAGTTTCTGATTGATATAATCGTTTCCACCTATCTAATGTTTATCTTGCAGACATTTCAGGGAAGGATACTGTCATAGGACCTTTTGATTGGCAGAGTTAAATGACATCTTCAGGTCAAGGAATGTGACTTAGATCAGTCGGCAGGTTGTATTAAAATGTTCCAGTATAAGGGGGCTTCGAAATAGACAAAAACACGTGGAACGAAACGTTTCTTACTACATTCATTTCAGAGATGTAGATAATCAAAATGTAGTGCACTGTAATGTCGTATCACTCAGCCTACTGACCATATCTCAAGACTTGGCCAATAAACTTCGATCAGTACTAAGCACTATGGATTAGATAGCTACATCGTGTATGCATCGGTAACAGATTGGTGTATACAGTCCAGCCTAACAGGTGGTTAGTCATCACTTAAGTAGCTTAGTGGTTAATTCTCTGACTTCAGCACTCATTTGTACGGGCTCGAATCCACACACTAGTTTGCCCAACCTACTGATGAGTACCAGCAAGCTCGAAACCTAGGTGCACAGCTTCCCGCCGATTGCCCCCCAAAATCTAACACCAAATGTAAAATCATGCAGTAGTACTATAAAGCAAGTTAAGAACTCATCCTAAGCAGTTTCAGAAACCAATCTACTGTTCAAATATTTACGTAATCCGATGTTTAATGATAAGCATTACTGTCTGCCAAAAATGGAACTGATACTTTTCCTTGTAAAATAATTTAATACTTCAGTAAATAAATTTCAACCCTTGTAAAAGTAGAGCTTTGTCTTAGCTAACGTAGTGACGTGAACAAATCAAGGAGTGTCTGCAAATTATCCAAAAGTCTCACTGGAATCAATCATAAAATTATTGATAAATAGATGGATAAATCTGCACCGCTGAAATCAATTTTTAGATATATCACCTAGTTGTCACGTAAACTATAACCAGGATGTGTATGCTTCCCAACACAGTTCAAACAAACAGCCAAAAATTTCATGGACTTATGTCATGTTTCAGATTAACCTTCTCTAACCTTTTTCCAGTCTAAACCTACTTCAGCCAATATTGCGTGATGTGTTAGATGGCTCCTAGGTATGCATAACCCATGTCATAGGCATCCCAGTTTAGAAAGGTCTACAACGTCATCAATTGGCCTCCCTCTTCTCCCTAAAACTCTGCACTTGACTGCTGCATTACTAGCGCAGTGATGCCACGATAGAAGGCCTGTGCTACGAAGGCAATGGTGATCGGACACTTGAAGCCTTATTATATCCCCTAGCTTTAATGGGTATGTTTGACAGCCATATAGTAGAAAAGAGAAAACTGCAGCACAGTATATTCAACTGTTACTAGGCAATTGGATATCACATAACTGCCATAAGCTTCGTATGTTGACGATTATCAAGCGAGCTTTTTGTATTCATACCGAGATTTTGACGACCACTGACCCACCGGAGTTAATTCGGCTTCCAAAGCAAGTAAACTGGCCAACGCTCTCAACCAAGTAACTCCATATTGTCAGAGTAGGTGCCAACACAGATGATTCCCGGAGCAACAGTTTGCATTTAAGTGGCGAGAAACGCACCTCACACATTCTCAGACTGCCCCTCAAATTATCCAGAAGACTCTGCATATTGTCAGTATCTTCATTTAATAGGAATATAATATCTGCGTGCTCTAGGTGTACTAAGGATCCTCCAGTCGCTGTGAGGTCAGATGAGGAGACGGAAACCTCTGTAAGCACTTGTGTGACATAATGCAGCAAGAATGGAGAGGGTGGATGTCCCTGATGGACACTACTCGACCTACACATGTCACGTAATACTTTACCAAATGCTCAAACACGCCAACATACTTGTTCAAGTACAGAGCTTTCAGCAGGGTGGTGTGACTGCCTAGCACTCTCTCTAGGCAAATTTCACAATGTGTGATTATTAATAGTTTCTGCAAAGTAATTTACAGAGTGCTCTCCTACAATTCCAAAAACCTTCAACTGTGTCATCTATACATGGCCGAATTATTTACTATCTACAACATTATGTGCATTATTTAACCTTACCATGGCCAAATTAGTAATTTTTTTCCTGTCCTTAGGAACTTCCTATGCTACTCCTGAACATTATAGTAATCATGCGTCCCTGTTGATCAACAATAGATTGTTATTGAATTTTTATTATTTCAAATATGACTGTACAGCTTTGGTAAATTAAAGTTCCTTCGTTGTTATGTCCTTGCGTCATTGTAATATGTTGTATACAATATTGCATCACAGCAGACTTCATACTTGAAGGTATCCTGACCAACAATGGACTGGATAGTTTGAAAAAATGTGGGCACCGAGTTTGTATGATTTATTGTATAAGGTGTATTTTTACTTGCGTAATCCCGGCGTAGTATATCAGAACAAATAACAAAATAAACAAATATTTTGTATTATTACTCAACGTTTAGATCTTGCCAGGAAGATCCTTTTGAAGAGTATGAATCTGACATTAAGTTTTCAGGTTAATATCCAAGTTTTGGTACAGAAAGTGGGGAACTTTACAATCATTGTAATTACACCATTAAAAGTACACTTTATACAATGAGACTTCATACTGTTTAGATCAATTTGTCTGTATAACATGAAAAGTTGATAAAGGTTGATTATTAATTCGAGAAACCAATAACGATTTCTAACTTTCTAGGGTCCCATGTGCTAACAGCTTAAATTCAAGTTAACAATGGGAAACAATCATTGTGTAGTTAATTTTAGGACGCGTGATCATTGAAATGACTGGCGTTTTTACAATTACCCAGTAGACATTTATACAAATTCCTGCTTGCATAAGACATTTCTTCTCTTGGCTACTACTTTATGATCTCATTTTTGACTTACTTCTGTTGTTCCTATTACGAAGTAAGCTTTGGTATTGCTTTCATCACATTATTGCCAGACTTCATGCAATGCATACGATTCTCTTTTTTTCAATGTTGTTACATTCCATTTCGCTATAAATTTGTCTGGTTATGGATGTCTGGTTCACGTGATACTGCCGACTCACTCTTAACACTGACCTTGGACATCACTGATCTCGTATATATTTCCCAAGTCTTAATCTATCCACAGGATGCGTCCCAACCGTGTACAACCAAAAACAAAGTCTGGCGCTTAGTATCCACACATTTTAGGTGGTCTAATTCATCCGTATATATAACTAAGTTACTTGACGACAATGCACCACATTGAAACCACTAATTTCAAGCGCATAATGGAAAAATACAAGACAATGATGGATTTCACTCACCATGTAGTTATCACCGAATTATAGGTTATACAGAAATGAGTGAGGAGTTGATCAAAAGCTTTCGAACCTAGCTAAACAATAATGTTACCGATTAAGATATAAGTGAAATGAATTTCAAAATAAACAAAGCAAAACAGCCATTGAGACTTATCTGAGATTCACGTTTTCCACTTATCAGTTGACCTAACAAATACTGGTGACAAATTTTTCATGATAGACACTAGCTGACGTAAAATTTAACTTGTACACCTAATGACATAATACCCACTAATCTCGTCAAGAAATATGAAACTGATTCGTATTTGTTTGATGAAATCATGAAAAAGAGAGTTTTGCTGCTTAGTTATATTTATATTTTCAGACTGTATTTTTAAGAGGTTGCAAACTTTTCTATTCACTTTTTTGCAAGGAAAAACAAGTGAATGAATTTAAAGCATTAGTCAATGCAACAAATGGTTTAGGTGATTCACACGATCGCATTCTACAAGATTTAAAAAATCAACCAATGGAAATAAAGAATTTTTTAAAACGTTGTTGGCATTGGTCTGTTCACTTATCCTATTTATTAAATTATCAAGTAGATCAAATACATCCAGGTGAATTAACTGCATTTGCTAATTTTGCTGTTGCATTCCCTACAAAATTTATTGGCCTTCTTGATACTTATGATGTAATTAAGTAAGTTCTTATTCATTTAATTTTTTTTCGTAAATATTTATTTACTGCACTTAAGTAAATTGGCGATGTTTGACAGATTCATATAAAAGGTGGTGATAATATAGTAGGATACTGAGTGTTTACATAAAAACTGTATTTATTTCACTGTTACTTTGATCTACTTTGGTTGATGAGATCATTTTCAATTTCATGGTTGTTTGCCGTCGGATGAATGGGTGGAGTTGATGAGAGAATTCTAGCCAGTATTGGGTGAAGTTTGAGGCGTAACTCACAGCTAAATTAGCTCAGACGTGATCTTTTAAGTTGCAGCACTCAATGAGATCATCAAGAGTTGATGAGTACCGACATATATGAAATCTGCGTCTATTGCTGAACATAATAAACCTTGGTGTTAAGTTTCCTATCTTTGTGACCGTATTTTGTAACCTTTACAAAGGCACAAAAGATGACACTTGTTACTCTATAATGGCTGATATATTCAACCATCTGTTTCAACTACACGCTGCACAGATGAGGATGTCAAAGCCAGGATCGGAAAAGTGAGACAGGCGTTCATTAATCCGAGATCAGTGTGGAGATCTACTGCACTGCACTCAGCATAAAGGGTGAACAAGATCCGGATTTCCAACCCTAATTCAGTCAAATCAGTGCTTCTATGTGATTTAGAGACTTGGCACGTTACGGAAAGCATTTCCAGCAAATTGCAGCCATACATCAACAGCTGCCACCTACGCTCACTCGATACTGACACTGAAGACCAGATGGCTAGAATAATAAGAATAAGCAACAAAGAACTCACTCTGACTGGCTGACAACGAACCACCGAAGCAAAAACTCATCGCCCAACATATGTGCAGAAGAAAGTGGATTGGGCATACACTGAGAGGACCGATTGGGGACATCACGAGCCAGGTCAGGCCAAGCCCTCAATTGGAATCGAAAGGAGAAACGACGAGTTGGGCGTCCGAGGTGAGGGTGACATGGAGGAGATGATGTGAGGAAGAAATGAAAGCTTGTGGGCAGTTGTGGAGCCAGGTTCAAAAGACTGTTGAGAATAGAGTAGAATGCAGGCGTGCTACTGAAGCCTTATTTCCACTAGGAACACGAAAGATAAATAATAATAATACGTGGATTCTGTATCTTCTTTTCATTACAACTTAACTCATCATCTCGTTACTTTTGAGCTGTTACCTCAGGTTTTCTCATCAACTTATTGTTGTACTTTAAAGAATCATGCTACTAATTTTCTTCGCTGACTATTTTGATGAGATTGAATAAAATATGAAGGCCTAAGTCACTGTAGGCCTTTTCATTCACATTTGACTTTATTGTCAGACATCTGACGCTGACAAAATATACTTAACCCCGAAATGTTTAATTAGATTAAGTAAGAATAGTTTTTGTGTACAATAACTTTCAAAGTACAGATTTAATATTCTCCGCTAGGAGACTGCCTAATCAATTCACTCTATACGATAGATTTTTTGACCTTGACAATCTCAGGCATTTCAACTCTTAGCATACCTCAAAAACGGTAGTGTATTTTAACTCATCGGAGCTGATGAAATAATCAATCAGGTTTTGATATTTCGCCTGGAAAGTACTTATCTATTAAAATAAAGGGATGTAATTAGCTGTCTCATCAGTGACCTTTAAAGTCGCCCGACATAGTATCGTTTTAAATGAATCATAAAAAGTGTAGAATTCAGTAATACCAACCTATTAGTATTGATGTTGATTTGTTTTATGTACGGGATGTCTAGTATATTCTGAAGATAGATGAAAAGATAGAATCTCAGGCAACACTGGTTGCTATATTAAAGTACAACGAGTCTATAGTCCTTCCTCTTGAGTTCGTTATTTGAGAACGCTAAAAACTGAGGCATAGGAAATTATGTGGTCTGGCGTACAGGCTAGATATATTCAAAATTTTAAAACCTCGGAGAAACCCTTTATCAGTAGACTGTTATAGCAGGAAAACACAATGATTTTAGGAGAAGAATTGCATATTTTTGTTGAATTTTTTGCGTTCAAGAATTCAATTTAAGATTGAGAAGCTCCTGTGATTGTTGTTTCCAAGTCAATCATCCAGTTACAATGAATGACATCTCGCATTTCTTCTTACTAGGATTTTGTCATCAGATAAAGATGTGAACGTAGTTAGTTTTGTAGTTATCATCAATATGAAGGTTAGTGTACGAGACTGTTGTTTTATGAATAGTAACATTACTTGGTCGATGAAACTGAAGTCGACATTTTTGCCAATGATGTTGTTTACAGTGGCTGTGAAAACCTTCATGGTTGAGGTGTCTTAAGAACTGTATTATGAAGTTATGTTCATACTCTTCAGTGGTTTATATATTCTACTAGGAACCGTTGGGTTACTAGTTTTATACAGACAAATAGTGTTATAAACGTTCACACGATAAGTGTAACGCATTTCAGTAAACAAACGCGTATGTAGTTCAGTCACTCAATATTAACGTGGGACCTTGTTTTATGGCATGAAATTCAAAGTTCTCACAATTTACAACGAAATGTAGAAAAATGACTGGAGTAAAGATGAAGGGCAGATGCATTTGCACCACTGCGGCTGATTATGATCCATGTCAGAAATTCCTCAGTCATATGTTTAGGCTGTCATAAAAACCCCAAACCGCGATTTCACACTTTCTTATCTGGTTTTGACATGCAGTTCGAAACTCAGTGGACTCATGGCACATTTTACTCTGACGTTCTTTGATTTTTTCAACCTGGCTAAAACTTTCCCTACAGTCAGACTAGTTCTTATGTACGAAACAATGTGCTGTTTAATCCGGTCAAAAGTTAACAGGTGCTGTTTTTATTTTATTGTTTGCATCAATTGACGTGTAGCTACCGAAGCAGATACATCTGCAGATTTTCTGAACACATTCTGGAAAGCCTACAACTGAGGGGAACAGTTCAGTTACTTGGCGTCTGGTTGACACTGGACATCGAACAGACGTCTTGTTCATAATAAACTAACAAACGAATTCACTTCTACTGAAGTTTAATGAAGCTGGAGCCATTAGACACGTCAACCTAGATTTATGTGTTCAAAAAAAGGCCATAATCGACATCCGTCTTGGTAATTCTTCTTGTGTATCATTTGAATACATCATCCTTTATGAACGTTAGATGTTCATTCCTTCACTCTTATTTAGTTGCATCGTCTTTTGTTCATATCGAATGTTTTTAATTAACTGAGCATAACGCTTAACTCACTATATATTGCTCGTTTATCATATGACCTGCTTATGTAACCATTATAGTGTTAAGTCCCTCAATATTTTGGTTGCTATTCTTGTCGTTATTGTATTCGCGGGGCTTCCATTAAATTATGAATATAATTATGACCACTTATTAAGTCTTCTTGACTTCGCCGTTATGACTGACTTTTACTCTATGATCATTTCTGTTCGTCTTAACCAGTAACTTATATCCTGGTATCTTTTAATGGATTCAGTTATGTTAACTCTTCAGTGAAACTATTTATTTTTTGATATTTTAGATTGTAACCAGCTGACATGGTATCACAGAAATAAGATGGATCTGTTTTTATCCTGCTTCCTTTGTTATTATTGCTCTTTTCTAATCCTACTTTGACTAACACTGTATTTGAAGTAGATGGTAGCTTAGTATGTATAACTCATCTCCCAACCACGTCATCTTTCGAATGTTTTCAGTATCAGCAGCTTACTTTTTTAAAACTTTATGCATAACCATTACATTACTCATGTGGGGATTCCACGACATGCAGATGATGCTGGGTGGCTAAAGGTCATCAAACATCTGAAATCTCATTCCCTTTCATCTTTAATGTAAATATTTTAACATCATAAAGTAGGAATAAGTGAACATGTACCACGTCGGTGTACTAGAGTACTGTTTTCTATAAACTACAAATCTCTTGAAAAGTAGTTTTTTAGCTACTGAGTTTTAAATTGATATATTTCCTGTGGAGTCTGAACACACCTAATAATCTTTCCATTTCTATGGTTTCCGTTTATCCAGTTATTAACGGTCCCCTTAAAAGTGTACCGCTCACATACATACATATCTGATTTGATGCTTTCCATGAGATTCTAGTTTACTGTATATTTTAAACGGATGGTTGAAATGGATGACAACATCAGCTATGAGTGGCTGTATTCATAGTTATCAGTAAATAAGGGTTTGCAGTTATTTGTTTTGACTTCTATTGACTGGAGGTATAGGAGTTTGGTAAGTCATAGGCTAGGTGAAATGTATTTGAGACATCAAAAATCGCTACAGTTTCGCTTTTATCTCTTATTTTCCTAAATCTTTACGGCATAGCTTATCAAAATGATCCCCGATGCTGTTTAATTATCAACTGATTCCTGACCTGTGATAACAAAGAGAGTCTTAGTTACATTAGTTTGCAAATTGTTTCTTTCTATCATACTATTTTAACATGTGATTATTTTGTTTAAGAGCGATATTACTGAAAAGAGGCCATTGAAAATGCCTCTCTACTATGTTATGATAATGTTAATTATCTTTATTCGTTTTTATTAACAGAAAAATGAAGAGAAATATACTTCGTACTGATTAAGTTAGAGTCGATGGGTTATAAATAACTGAAAAATTTTCTTTAAAAAAATGTGTTCATAAACACGCTACCCTCCTTGGTATCAGCCCTGGTAACTAATTTGTAATACAGCTTAATCGTTTTCTTTTTTGAAACTACTCATGAGTAAACAAGTGAGTAATCAATTTATTTTTATTGCATTTTGTATGTATTTCTAGGTCAGGTTTACCAAACTTTTGTGCCGTTGCATTAGCCCTTTATGAGTATGGTCATCAGGCTGTTGGTATACGTATCGATAGTGGTGATTTATCTTACATGTCATTAGAAGTTCGCAAAGCTTTTCTAGAAATCAGTTCATAGTAAGTGGTGTTTTTTAATTTGTGGTTGGTTAAGATATTCTACATTGAAGATACTAATGTTAATCTTCAATGAGAAAGTGTTGTGCTTTTTATTATGCTAGTTTGATTTAAGTTATAAGCAATCCACTTTTAATTATACAAATGGGTTGTGTGTTTTTATCCAGTTAATATAATCAGTCTTTATGCAGTTTATGTAGTACAAGGCTAAGTGTTTATTAACCCTTCGTTGGTTAAAAGTTTTCATACTCAGCTACTTTCAAAAAGATGACATACTCAGGGATCTTATCGTGTTTCATACAACAAACGAGTAATCTTTGTATGCTAGTAGCTACAGTTTACAGTATTCGTAGAAAGGATTAACTACTATACCTTTTGAGCTCCATACAGACTTGTTAGATAATCTTCTGTGCGACCGTTTTCTCTCGATTTGGAACTACGGCTTCTGAATAAAATTTGACTAGCACACTACCGTTGATCTAGATTGGGGTTCATTTGTTAAGGGATTTTCACTTCATTCAGTTCACGATAAACTGCTCTCCAATCGGCCCATCTTTATCTTATCACAGGCTTATAATCATATATATTGACCTTGCGTCTTGATTGTCTTTTGAAAGACTTCATTATTATTGTCAGATATTTAGAATACAGTCTTTAGGTAGTCCTAGTTTAAAGTCTGATATCTACAAGCAATCATCAGCAGGTTTCACTTGTAATTTCCAAAAAACGTCATCATCCTTCGGAGTATGACATACAAACTGTTAAGTTCTGTTTTTCGAAAAGCCGGTTTTGCATTTCACAAGACTTAATTGTGTGCATCTGCTATCTGGCAAATGAAAAAGGGTGTTTTAATCTTTGTTCCACTGTTTATCAGTGCATACATTGACGCCGTATCACCACTAATTGCGGTGAAATCTGTGTCTGGTTGTACATGATCCACTCATTTGAGAAGTTAATCACGGAATGAATCACTCAATCATGATATACACAGCACCTCATGATCGCAGTTTAATTTCTAGAGAGGGAGAGTAGTAGTCTGGAGGGGTGCTGTTATATATTTTGCTGATGAGTACCGCTGAAGACAAAACGTAAGGCCATAGACCCCTTCCAGCTACCTCGAAATATGTGACGCTAAATAAGAAACATTTGAATGTCAGATAAATTTAACTTATTGGGTTATATTATACAATCTGATAAACGTATTAGTCAGTAACAAAGGTAAAAGACTAGCGTTGATTAATATTTGATAACTGTCGTTTATTTATGACATCATCAATACCAATGAAATCATAAACCAGAGTAAAAACGTTTGTTCATTGAACACCAGAATATATCTTCTAGCACCCATCTAGTATTAGTTAGTAAATTTATATTTAAAATTTTCGTTTCTAGTTACAAATTACCTTGGTTTGCACAACTTCAAATACTTGTAAGTAATGATTTAAGTGAAGATACACTGCACTCTTTAAATCAACAAGTAGGTAATGTTAATATGATTATTCTACTTTATTTTTGTATTTTCGTGATAATTTGTTTTTCTTCGATCTGTGCAACCGTCTACTCAGGTTATTCTTTATGTTTTCTGAAGCGTTGTTATCGTACTATGTTTGGTAGATAAGTGGCTTATAAACTTTTCGTCATATATTCCGAGCAAATATAATACGCACGCTCAACTGACAGCTAACTTAGTAGGCAAGATCCATTGACTACAAGCCAGGATGAGTAGATAGAAGACCGAAGCTGGATGATAGGAGAGTTTATTCCTCCGAGAATATAATAATAAATCAATCCCAAAACACCTGAATGTGTACACACATGAATATGACCTTATCCGCAATTTGAGACATTGGCATAGTAAGAGTAAAGATTAACCAATCAGCGAATTACATTACAATGGGGCAGAAAATAAACTACTAGTCATACCGTAAAAGTGAGGTGAGAATACCAAGTTAAAAATGTTCAGATCAATAACAATGTTTTGTGCAAACCAGTGCCTCACAACACTTTTCCTCAGGTTTTACTGGGGATTACAACTTTTCAGTCCTTCGGACGTCTGCTGTGAACGACTTTATATATATGCGGGCAGTTGAACAATAACCCTCAGATTTCACCCCTTGATGGTCGCTCAGTTTCTTGGTGGATGGGAAGGGGGTAATATAACGGAAGATTAGAATTTCGTGCTGATATTTGTTTCTTGAATCAATTTGTTATTTACACTTGGATTCACGTGCTTTCTCTTGAAACTTCAGTGCAACACAATTAGTTTGTCAAAGGTTTCAGGGGTTTACAGCTTATGAAGATTTTGGTAATCTTATTCCACACTATAACACAAATGACATAGCGGAGAATATTTGTAGCTCAGGTGGATGATCTTGGTTGTAGTGTGTTCTTTGAGCTGGATTGTTCAATGGTGGAGCTTTCATCGTCTTTCTGCACGGTGTCATCAGCACTAATTTTATAGTGAATTTAGTGAACACAATAGAACCAAGACAAATAACATTTAAAAAAAACCCAGCTATCATATTCATACATCGAGTGTGTGGTTGACTTTCATGTATCATAACAATTTCACTGTACTCAGAGATAAGATCAATTTTTCTTTTAAAGAATAATACGCGTATGCGTATATTTATGATACCATTAGGATAAGAATATTTAGCATACTTTTACACTATGTATTGTATGCATTCTGTTATTATTATGCTGCACATTTTTGTTCCGTGATTTTTGGCTTAGGATTCTTTACATCCTACGTACTATGATGGTTTACTTTTCAGCTTTTTTATTTATTAATAATCAATTCAACTTTACAATGATAGTAATAATGATGATATTCTTAAGCCTACATTTGTGTCACTCTTGTTGACCTTTTAGAATATTGTTTCCAAAAAGGGTTGCCAAAAGGGTTTTGGCATTCTTCTTTTCTTTATGTTATGTGCATACGTTTTTTCTATTCAAAAAGAGAAAGTTAGGACTCTGATTAATGCAAATTAGCATTGCTTTTTGGTTTAATAAATATTATGCTTTCATTTTGCTTTTTGACATTCTTATACATTCCGACTTTCAGAAATCCAAATCATGATTATGACGGTCTTACGCATATGCATATTTACGTAGAGTGGCTTTTTAACACTGAAATTCCTCTTCTGAAGTTATGAATTTGAATTCTAGTTAATAGTATCGTCCATTTAATCTCTCACCTTGCTTTACAGTTTGGTAATGGGAACTCATTCAGATTCCCTTAGTGACATAAATGGATTCTATGGACTAGAGATTATACTAACTACCAAGATATGGTTACCTCATTCTAATTTTTCTGTGGCTGAAAGATTTAATATATACTCTGTAAGAATCTTTATGATATCATTATTTAATTGTTTTATAGGATCATTCGATTGATTCATTTTGCGTTGGGACTAATTTAGTCACATGTCAGAAACAACCGGCTCTAGGATGTGTTTACAAACTTGTTGAAATAAACGGAACTTCAACGATGAAACTTAGTGCTGATGTTGAAAAAGTCACTTTACCTGGCAAAAAAATTGTCTATCGCTTATACGGCAAACATGGTACGTTGAATTTTTCTCATTTTTGTGTACGCAATGTATTTCTGTCCTAATAATCTTTCCAAAAATATTTTCTCATACTTGTTGCAGTAATAAGTAGTTAGATTTTTGTTTGAAAAATGTTTGCGTATTCTCTATCATTCCTAAGAAGCTAGTATTGTAAGATACATAAACATGAAACTAAAGTCAAGTATTTGTCTTACGGTACTGGCCTGTCTAATGTCTATCATGCTGCATAAGGCAATGATGAAACTTTGAAGATCTCAATACGTTTTCATTACCTACCTTCCCGCAGGACTACTGAACATAGTAAGCTGTTATCACCTTAATAACTGTACTTTATCTCAGTTCTGTCAGTGAATCAATGCGGATTTCACTCCAGTATAGTCGTAAATTTATTGAATTATTGGAGTGACTTACTTTAATTTGACTGTAATGATGGCTGGAGTTGGACTACTTCACGTTGTATTTGTGATTGCTAAGAATTTACTTTGACTAACTTCCGTTACATAATTTAGTCGAGTTGCTCAATGGTAATACCAATAATAATAATAATGGTGTGTCACAGACCTCACAATTTGATTTGAAACTAATGATGATTGCTGCTGATATGATATTGGAATGTTCTCCAATAAAATGTGTAGTTGATATAATGATAATATTTGAATGTAATCTGTATTCTTGTCCCACTAAATAAACATTTCAGGATGTTTATCTATGTCTGTTCCTATTATTTTTCATCCCATTTCTTCGCTATAGGTGAAGCTTTGGTAGATTTAATGAAACGACCTCATGAAATTGCACCGAAAGTTAATGAACGTATCCTTTGTAGACATCCAAATCTGGCATCTAAACGTGTCTTCGTTGTACCTGCAAAAGTTGAAGAAATGCTGAAATTATATTGGAGTTGTGGAAAAGTAAGGTTTTCTCTGCTGATTCTCTGTTTTATATATGCGAAGCTATGGTTCACCTTTGATATGAATATGAAGCAATATATTAACAATAAATTCTGTTCAAAACATCATCCAGTAAACAATACTGTTTCACTGTTCGAAATGTCAAATAAACAATGTAATATGAAATTATACACTATCATAATGCTCAAGTTCTACTCGTAGATTACTATGGCTCATTGGTATAAGTATACAACTTTTAAGCAGTTGTTCACGGGTTCGAACACTGTCCCACCTACTTAGATCTAAATGGTCAAGCAGTATCACTAGCTCTCATACAATAAATATACTCCGTTACTTAGTTCATGAATCAGCGTGTGATTACTGAGTTGTGTTATTTTATATTGTTTTTCATGCATATTTATTTTTATCAATGGTTCCAGATTATTATTATTAGTCCCTTGGGTTCCTAGTGGAACATATGGCTTCAGTAGCACGTCTCCAGTGACCTCTGTTCTCTGAGATCTTTTGAACCTGGTTCCACGACAGCCCACAAGCTCTCATTTCCTCCCCGCACGACCTCCTCCATGTCACCCTCAGCTGGGACGTCCAACTCGTCGCTTCCCATAGGGATTCCACTCGAGCAACTGGCCTGACGCGTGATGTCCGCAGTCGGCCTTCTCAGTATATGCCCAGCCCAATCCATCTCTACTTCCTCCTGCATATTTGTTGCGTGATAGGTTCTTGGTTGGTTCGTTCCCAGAGCTCCTTGTTGCTTATTCTTTCTGGCAATCCATCTGATCTTCAGTAGCGAGACAGCGTAAGCAGTTGTTGATGAATGTCTGTAGTTTATTGGAAATGCCTTTCATGACGCGCCAAGTCTCTGAGCCATACACAAGCACTGACTTAACGTTGGTGTTGAAAATCCGTATCTTGTTCCACATGCTGAGTGCAGAAGATCTCCACACTAGTTTCAGGCTAATGAACGCCTGTCTTGCTGTTTTTCCGATTCTGACTTTGACATCCTCGTCTGTGCCTGTGCTGCCTGTAGTTGAAACAGTGCTTCCTAGATAGGTGAAGGAGGTTACTTCCTTTAAGTTTCTCCTATTGATGGTGACTGGAGTTTGTTGTTGTTGTTGGTTGGGTATCTTCATCACCTCTGTCTTCTCTATATTCAGTTGAAGTCCCGTCTTCGCTGCCCTGCATCTTCTGTCAACTTGTTAGTTTTCGCCTGTAGATGTTCAAGTTTATGTGACGTCAGGCACAAGTCATTGACGAAATCCAGATCTTCTAGGTTCTTTTCCGCAGTCCAGCCAGTGTATCCCCCTCTTCTCGCTCTTCTCTGTTGTATGCTGCATGATCCAGTCGACCACAATCAAGAATATCATGGGGGATAGTAGGCAACCTTGTTTCACTCCTGTCTTCACTTCAAAAGCATCACTGAGCTTCCCATTGTCAATTACTTGGCATGTGGCGTCTTCATATAGTTGTTGGATGAGGTTGATAAAGGTTTGCGGTACTCCGTAGTAATGAAGCAGTTTCGAAATTACTTCTCGGTCGACGCTGTCAAAGGCCTTCTCAAAGTCGATGAAGTTGAGGTGGAGAGGTGATTGCCATTCTATGCTCTGTTCTATGATGATGCGAAGCGTTTCAATTTGGTCTGCGCATGATTTGTACTTCCTGAAGCCTGCCTGTTCCGGTCTTAGTTTTGAGTCCAGTGCATCCTTAAGCTTCTCCAGGATGATGCGGCTTAATATTTTGCTTGCTCTGGGTGGACAGGAGAGTGATTCTTCACCAGTTCTTGCAAACACTGAGGTCGCCCTTCTTCGGGAGTTTGACAAGGCAGCCCTTCTTCCAATCTGAAGGTACCTTCTCTTCCTTCCACACCTTCTGCAATAGTGGTGTGAGCATGTCCGCTGTTGTCTCTGCGTCTGTTTTCAGTGCTTCTGGCGGGATCCCGTCTGGTCCTGCTGCTTTCCCGCATTTCAGTAGCTTTATGGCGTTCAGGACTTCCATTTTCGTTGGGGGATTTATGTTCACTCGTAATTCAGCGGCTGCAGGTGGTATTTCTGGACGAAGTGCAGGTGGTGGTCGATTCAAGAGCTTCTTGAAGTGGTCGGCTCATAATGGTTCCAGAACACTTACTTAATTTCTATATTGACATGATACACGGCGTAAATTGATAAAAATACATTATAGGGTTGTTAAGTAGAAGACGAAAGTAAAATATAGTCATAAGGATTAATTGAAAGAGGCAAAAGAAAAGTATACAACGATAAATTCAAATAAAGGTCTGTTAATATTTAGTATTTAGATAATTTACTTTATTGGCATGCAAAGTGGATAGACTTACATTGATTCAACTCAACAACTACCCTACGTTTAAAGACACAGTAATAACATCTCATCTTTTTTCCTGTTCTATTGGTGGACAGCTGAATTACTTCAGGTAAAATGTCACTTTCTTTACATGTTTTGGGGTTAATTCATTGACTGATTTATAGAAACTAACCGAACCTCCTATTCTGCACAATTTTTTCCTTTATTAAATTTACATAGAGCGAGAAGAACAGTTTCAGCAGAATCTATTTTAATTTGGGGTTGGTGATCATCTGCTTACAATCTAAAACAATCTTAACATCAATTTATACAAGATATTTGCATACTTGAATCAGTTAGATAGAAAATTATTGGCTTGATTAGAAAATACCACTGATAAGATGTAAATGGTCACACGAATTGTGTGAATATATATAGAAAAACTAATTATCCACGATTGATAGAACTAATAGTAAGCTTGTCAATATATGCAGGAACTAGATGAATATTCCAGAGTAGAGGTTGGATAAATGTGTGAGTACGATCAAGTGGCGGTAAGGCAGCACAAATTCACGAGGTAGTCGAATAAAAACTTTGGTGATTGAAGTGAAATAAAAATCTGGTCAACAGTTGGGTCTCGTATGTCAGTTAGTAAAGCATCAGGCCGAAAACCCGGTAGTTGCTGGTTCAAACCCCACTGCGACCATAATTTTTATTCCATCTTTAATCATTACCTAGTACAAATAAGGAGGAGACAAACGTATCCTGCATATTGGGAAATTGGATGGGTAGAATTTAGATAATTAAGTGAAGGGTGTGAAATGGAATAACAAAGAAGATGTGTGAATCTTTAGTGATATGTATAAAGTATCATGATTGTCAACAACACAAAGCTTCTCGCCACGGTAGGCACAGACTTGTAACTTTTTTTTAATGAATACATAACTTTGGTTCTAGTTGTTTAATAGCTATCCCAAACGTTTTGTATAAATTGATGTTAAACTTGTCTTAGATCTTAAGCAGCTGATGGGAAACTCCGAAATAAAATGGATCCATGGTATTATACTAAAACTGTTGCCCTTACTTTGCTTACAACTTCCCACTTGAGTGTCTCCCAATCAATTGCAAATAAGTTATCCTCTTTAATGGGAATTCGAGGTGAATGTAGACTGTCTGCAGCACCAGTTGATAAGATAAATATACAACATAATTTCATCTTAATGATGTTTTCGATTGCGGTAGTCACCAGTATTATATTGTTTACACGATAACTAAGGTAACAATTATCCAGTAAGTATGTGAATCCATGTCAAATTTTGTTCATCACAGCGAACTCTAGCAAGTAGTCTACGCCTATACTCTAAAATAACTATAAAAACATATCGGTACAGAACATGATTGATATTGAAATATCATCTTCATTATCACAGTATCCAGTATTAAAAAGCTGTCGAAAAGGTTAAGTTTAACTGTTCTATGATTCTCAAAAACTGAAAAGTAACCGAACCTTACTGGCTTGTTTGAACAATAGTAATAATAATAATATAAATATAAATAATCAGTTTATTCGAAACATTGTGTGATACTGTATGAAATTCTCAGCATATAATATTTCAACGAATTCACTCCCAGCACAATATTTTTAAGCGAAATAATTATTACATGTGAACAGCGTTAGTAATAACAACCGTATTAAAGGCAATAATGTGAAGTAGGGAGCTGGTGTTACAATAACCTGTAGTCTGGACGTGGGAATGAATAGAAAAGTCGAGTGTAATTTCGGTGGTAGCACTTTATTCAACCCGTACAAAAATCTGCAATTTGGTAAAGTTATCCTAGGAATAGTAATGCACTGGAATTTTGTGCATTCATAATTCCATTTACATCCGGCGTAACGTCTTCTCTTTTTTATTTTTAGCTTCAAAAATAGCAGTTTACAAATATTTTAAAAACGTGCAAGAGTATATGATATGTTTAATAGACATACTTTGAAGATTAAGAGAAATTGAAAGGGAGGAATTTGATGAACTGTATTTAATTTTGGGGGGGGGGGGGTTGTGGGGATTTGGAAATATTTCGAGTTGTTATTCATCGTAGACTGACATCAGTTGGAGGAACAAAGGAAAACTGGGAGCACTGGACAGCTGTCTCGTCCTTGTATGGGACTCCTCAGCGGTGCGCACCTATAACCCTGCCAGGGACCGAACCCGCGACCTTCAGGTTCCGTGGCCAGCACGTTATGGACCATTAGATTCTGACCCAGTGGCTCGATGGCAACGTGCTGGCCACGGAACCTGAAGGTCGCGGGTGCGATCCCTGGTGGGGTCGTGGGTGCGCACTGCTGAGTAGTCCTATATTAGGACGAAACAGCTGTTCAGTGCTCCTAAGTTTCCTTTGTTCCTCCAATTTATGTCAGTCTACGATGAATAACAACTTGAACTGTATTTAGTTGACAATTTTGGTAGCCCGAAGTCTAAGCAGGCCATTGTTTGACGATGCATAATGTAACAACTTAGTATGTTCATTAAAGATACCAAAATCTGAACTCAGTTCGAAACAGTGTATTGACTAATTAAAGAGTAAATTTTGAAGGAACTAGGTGAAAAGAAGGTTAGATAAAGAGTCAAATATCAAAAAAATTGATTTTAATTTTATGCCACATTATCTTGAAAATTCTTATTTTATTTTTGTAGGAGTTTAGAAATTACATTGATTTCACTTCAACCCTGTTAGTTAAGGTAATTTCTCAATGGATTGAAATATTGAACATACAACTAAACCATACTACATAGAAAACTTTGGTTTCTTCAGTTGTTAGTATGGATCTCTGTTGTATCCGTCACCACTCTACTGCACGGAATTATGCTAATACTGTAGAGTGGATAATACCACTTGACACTTTTGTGTTTCATATGCATTAGCGGAATAATGTTGAATGAACAAGAGTACATGCTTGTGATTTTGTCTTTAGTTATGTCTTTTCTGGTATTTTTTCTCTCTTTTCTCGTAGTTAGTTACACCACTTTTAACGTTGAATGAAGCCAAACAACACGTTATTCGTGAACTGGATACCCTACGATCTGATTATAAACGTATTGTTAAACCGACACCATATAAAGTCTCTGTTTCGGATGAATTATATCAATTTACTCAAGAACTTTGGCTTAGTATGACACCCATAAGTGAAATTAGTTAACAGTTTATAATTTCTCTTTTCCCTACATTTTTATTTTTCCTAACAATCCTTTATTGTAACCTTTCTTGTTAATTTTGCTACATAATCAACTACCAGATCTTTTCTTACATTTTGACAGTATCTTGAGATACCTAGAAGGATGTTTTTATTGTGATCTCTTCTCTGCATTATTTTGTACATTCATCAGCTAAGAAATTATTTCCGTAGTAAAATTTATCTGAGCTATTATTAATACTTGTATAACGAAGAAGATACTGTGAATGAGCTACATTTATTCATTTTATTGTCGAGACGTTTTTGAAACTAATCACATGTTGTGCTACTATCAAGTGAGCGACCGCTAAATAAAATTAGAGTTGGTAATTCTGTAAAAGTATGGTGATTAAATTAGTTAAAGTGTATGCAATATGACCATTATGGATAGCTTCTCGATTTTATATTGGATGGTTAAAAGCAGTAAGTCAGAATGCATTCATTGACAGTGTTCACAAAGGAACATAGGGGAAGTGGCACTTCATCAGACACCGTAGCCCTAATCATTCTGAGGTAAAAAAAGCTTCACTACTATCTTAAAAAGCCAACAGACAGACAAAATCAACGTAAAACCTAACACATAAGTACATCGGTTCAACTCGGCACACTTTATAGTAACAAAAAAGAAGAAGTGGATGGAAAGAGATTGATATCAAAGTAGAAGTTGTATACGAAAATAAAAAAAATTAAAGAAAACGTCTAGCACGAATATTCAAGCTTTATAAGACATCAACGATTGAATACATCTGCGCCATTGTGACCCATTTCAGCCATGACGCTGAGAATTCCAAACCACTGATTCCTTTCATCTTAGGGACAACCGTAAAATAGGACCGGACAAACTGCAGCAGAGCAGTATGCTCATCCTTTGTTTGGTAGCAGCATATGTAGCCAGTTTGCTCCGCATATGAGGCAAGTTAGCAAATGCCAAACGAGCCTTCTGTATTCGAGATGAGATTCTATCAGCAATCAGGCTATTCATGCCGATGCAACTCTCTAAATGAAGTGGTCAACACATTCCACCACTTCATTTCCTATCATTAAATTGGGAGTGACTGTAGACTAGTCCTGGAGCATCATCTTAGGAAACACCATCACTCAGACTTATTTGAGGATTGGAAATAAGAAAGGATTGTTGAGAAATTGTGTTTTCAGTCGTTTAGAAATATTACTTGCTTAGAAGCATCAATTTTGTGGTTGGGTTACTACATCTGACTGATTCATTACTCTTTAGACATGAAGCGTCCAACCATTTTTTCGATAATTACAATTATAGAAGTATGCAGAATGGTGAAACAAAGCAAACTGGTTTCATCATTTTCAATAAAAAATGAATTAGTTTTTACCTATTAGTTTCGCACACAGTATTGTCAAACTAAAATGCTAGGTCAAGTAAGTGACCTTATTGGCAGGTTAACATGATTAGAACCACGCTTTAAGGCACCGCAGTTACTTCACTCGAGATGATCACTAGAAAAGTTGTGATGAGGTTAACTGCGGATGATGGTCAAAGTTAATCATTGCAAAATGCAAACTACTTTTTCAAATTTATTGGTAAAATCGTTGATATCCCATCTTTTCCAATCTAATCATTCTCTGCCTAGCAATCTGATGACTCAACAAGTATTTCAATCTCTTCATTTGGCGCAGATTTATAATATCAACGGCTGAATTAGATTCAGTGTGTCTGTTTTGTATCATTCACTCTATGATTTCACCTTCAGTACATGGAAGATATACATTAATGAACATTTTTTAGATTGCCATTGCTTCTAAATTCAGTAATCATGCTTTACAGTTGCAGATTAAAATTGAAAAGACTTATCTAGTATACTTACCCTTCTGTGGACAGTCAGGTTTCTGCAGCTCGCAACTGTAAACTATCAGATGCCAAACGATTTTCTACCGCCGCATTGATCATGTTTTCGACGAAAAGCAACTTTTCAGATAAGCGAGTTGGTCATCCTATCCCCCCCCCCATGAACGTATCCTTAAGCTAATAGTAGAGATCAATCAGTCATGAAACGTCTAATATACTCAAATTTTAGTCTACAATCTTCATAGATTTCTGCCTTCTGTAAGCATCCTTGACCATTAGAACTGACTCTGCATCTTTCTATTTGTACTACAGGTAGAAATCAAACATTAAGAGAATGAATGTTTATCATTAAATTTATAACTGTAGAGATCCTTGGAAACATTTCCTGAAGTTTAAACCTCTGTTATTCCGGAGAATTAGGTGAGAAAAAATCGTATTCGATAGAACTGGATAGTGGTCATACTGTGGGAAAATGTGAACTATAACGTACTCATTGTAAGACCTGATTATTCTGGCTGTTCATTGCTGTGGAATACCATACCAGGGTGAAACTGATGCCTAATACTTCCAGGTTTTCAACTGTTCTCCGGCTGAAGTCAGTACGTGATGATTGCTACCTTGAAATTAATCGATCCTCACAAACCTGCAAACTGAAAAATAAGTCTCGTCAAGGTTGTAGACAAGTTGATTATAAGTACCAACAACCATAGAGGCTGGGTTGACTACTATCACTGAAAATATCCAAATTTCTTTCCGCTCATAATTAGTGTGTTCCTTATATGATAAACATTTGTCTTTTGAATTGTGATAAGTTATAGGCTGAAAGAGTACTACTGACATAAATCTAAGTAGCATTGACAAAGTAAACTAAATAAATTACTAGTACTGTTGTTTTACAGATTAGTTTATTGCCTTCATTTAATTTTACTAATGGGCGAAAAAGATTTTCTTAATCCGTTTTTTATAAGGAAAAAATCTAAGGGAAGTTTATCCGAACTCATAATTCTAGACACACTAGATTGTTTAATTTTACTAATTGCATGAGTGGTGCAAATTAAAGTTTAAAATGCAATTACAGATGTATGACCAGTTTATGAATTGCTACCGTTATTTTAATTGGATACAGTATTGGTAGTAGTGGTGGTGGTTCTAGTGATGATGAATAAATATTGTATATTTGGACACAAATAAATTAGTCTACTACGTTCATTTTTGAAAAGTGACTTTCCTATTCGTCATAAATTACATTTAATTTAATAAAACAAATCTTTGCCTTTTTTTGCTACAACTAACTTAAAATTGTTTGTAAATACATTTTTTTTAATCGAAAAAATATAGTTTATGGTTGTTTTTTTGAAGTTCAACTTCTTTTTATGCTAATATACAATGTACCGTATGTATACATTATAATTAACGTTTACTAAAGACTTCATCAGTAGCTAGAACGTATGATACAAAACCAAAATGTTAATGATGTTACAGGGTAGAATAGGTAAACTATTTTCTTCATATTACTGGATTTCACCATCTCGCTGACATAGTTAACTTTTCGAGATGACTTAACCAACTGTCGGTTAATCATTTCAACTTTCTAATCTTGTTTACTCAGTTGAAATGATCCATTGAAGATAGTCATGATAGAACCCGTGACGTCGTGCTTATCAACTGTAAGGTGGTCTTATGTTCCTGTTGCCTAACACTTGACCAGCCTTGCCTAAATTGATTTGCGCCAGTACCCAACTAATCAGTACCTTACCTATGTATAAGTACTGATAACAAAAGACAAGTTGGAAAACATGTAATACGATGAAAAGGTACTCAGACGAACAGTTTATTGATTAGTCAGAGAATAAGAGATTAAATTTGAGGAGGAATGTTAACTTATTTGTCTGTTACTGGCTAAGCTAGGGATTCTAAGCTAGTGGCTGCCGACCAGAGCATGGTAGACACAAAAATGACGTATGTCAAAGTGTGAGTGCCTATACACCGAAACAAACTTAGAAAACTAAAGTCACTCGACGCCATCGTAAAAGATTATTGAGCTATTAATTATGCATTTTAAATGTTTATTTATTTATTTTAAGCGTAGCATTATTTTGGTGCCAAAATAATGCACTACACTACCATAGGAGGGGGTGGGTGGTTAACTGAGAGACTCTCGGTTCGTATTTTTAGCAAACAGATTATAACTTTACACTCATCGATTTCCCATTTGCAGAGCTACTGTTACTAACAATTCATTCGAATACTGTGTGTTTTTTCGTAAAGTAACCACTATGCTTTACAGTGTTGTGTATATCATTTTCATATGAAAACCAGAAATGAAGGCAAAAGAGTCGAAATTTGTTATAACAATTGGATGTAATGTTAGTTGAGATGTAGACAGCTGTTTACGTACCTATCAGGGTTCGTCTGTTATGACACCGTAAGACTTATACTGGTCAACGATCAAACTGTCTGCAGCTAAATGAAATATGAGAATAGATAGATCGACTAAACATGATCACTGATTTTAATTCTAGAGAAGGAATAAGAATTGAACTAAATAGCACCAGTAAGTTGCTAGTTTTAGTTAGCATCAAGTGCCAGTTATCTTTTGCATTAGTTCATAAATGTTTTGCTTTTTTCTGTATTTAGCTGCAAATAAATAAAGTTAATTTGTCTTTTTTTATTTTACTGGAATCTCTTTTTTCGGTTAGTAAATTACTTAACTGTAATTTTTCTAGGATGAAGAAGTTACATAGTATGAGGTGAGCACTACCTAAGTAGCATATTATTCTTTATTTATGATTAATTATTTAAGGGACTAAACCACCTTCATCGAATATATTCTATGAACTGAATGGTTGTAGATTACGAGACTAGTCAACACATTCAACTCAAATCCTTTCATCATATTATCAAAGTAATCAGGAATTGTGAGATATTTTGCATTTATTGTTTTAACGATCTTAAGTAATCTTAAGATAACAAATCACAGTAATCTAACATCATCTAAAGAATGAATGAAAGCTGAGGAGTTTGAAAATAGTGTTGAAATATCATATTAGCATATTTTCTTAACTACCAACAAAGTTGCATTTTTACTAGGATGCATATGTTATAACTATGAATTTTTCTTTATCATACTTTCCAGCTGTTCACATAGACTTTTTTATAGAGAGCCTTGGTTATATTGTGTGCTCTGGTCTCGGTTGTTAAATCGTTTAATCGACTAAACAACCCAGCTCAGAGAACACAGTGCAACCAAGACCATCCACCTGAGCTACAAATATTCTCCACCATTTCTTTATAGAGATTAACAATTGAAGTGCTTAATGAACCAATCTGTTCTGGTTATTGTGATTGAGATGACCTTTAAATTAGTATGATTTTCATTCATTTTGAAGGTTTGCGGGAATTTATTGATTCTAAAGTAGTAATCATCATCGGTTGATATCAGTTGGAGAACCTGGGAGTCCTAGAAAGCTGTTTTGTCGTAATCTGGAGTTCCTCAGCTGCGCACACCCACGATACATCCTGAGAGCCTGTGATACATATCACCATGAAATAGATCCCAACTTG